ACTTATCCACAAAGCCCTCTTCTTATTGCTTTTATATCAATAGGTGTCCGTGGAGATCCTGGCACACTTAAGATCATCTCCCTTCCAGGAAGCCCAGGGCCACCTGGCCCACCTGGACCACCAGGGATGCAAGGAGAACCTGGGCCAGTGGGATCACCAGGAAACCCAGGTGTGGACCTGGCAGCAGTGACTAGGATCTCTAGGAACTGATTGAACCATGATACCTGTAAAGCACTTTGGAGGCAAATGATACAACTTCACAGAAAACTTTAAACATTGTAGTGGGCTTTTTTGTAATCAGTTTTAGGACTGAGTTCAATTACCCTTGACCAACAAATAAAAATCCTTAGAATCTATTGAAAATTGATGTATATAGTATAAACTTGGGCCCTCTTTCTTAAGATAAAGGAGGCATTATGTCTATCTCCTCTGACAGCTGTCAACCTTGGAGCTCTATTTTGAAATGACTGCCTAAATATACCCAAGTTCTATGGATTTAAACTTTTCTAACACTTTGTACAGCAAAGTGTTAGGAAAAATGACTTTAAAATCTTTTAAAAATATTTGTGTTTGGAAATTTTTTTTTTTTTAAAGAGAGAGTGATAGAGGGAGGGAGAGAGAGAGAGAATTTTTTAATGTTTATTTTTTAGTTATTGGCAGACACAACATCGTTGTTTGTATGTGGTGCTGAGGATCGAACCCGGGCCGCACGCACGCCAGACGAGCGCGCTACCGCTTGAGCCACATCCCCAGCCCGTGTTTGGAAATTGAACTAATCCCTTTACATATACTTAGCATATTATAATAGACTTCCAAAAGGAACTATCATGCTGTAAATGTTTGTGAATCACATGGGAGATGAGAGATATTTCCTATTAGTTTGATCAATACATGGGCCTAGTCAATTCTGGAATAGAATAAATCAAAATGGCAGCACAATTTTAAACTTCTATATTTGATATACTAATAATTCATTTTAGGGTCTTTTGTGAGGGAGGCAGAGGTAACAATTTGGATGAGCAACCATCCCACTTTGCCCAGGATGGAGGGTCATCCTGGAATGCTGGACATTCACTGCTGAAACTGAGGAAATCCCAGGTTAACAGGGATGGTTGGCCACCTGACCTTTTATCCTGACATTATGAAATGAAGATACTGTTGTTTTTTGCCTAGGACCCTGCGGACCAAGAGGCAAACCTGGAAAGGATGGAAAACCAGGAATTCCTGGACCAGCTGGAGAAAAAGGCCCCAAAGGCCACAAAGGAGAGCAAGGTAAACAAATACCCAGTTGATTCCTTTGTTGATAGCGTGCTGTTTCAATATAAAAGGGGGTCTTGTCTGAATGTGTGAGTATAAGGGTAATCTAGGTCTTTCAGTTTGTTTTGTTCAGATTAGACCAAAGATCAACAGCTTGTGTGGAAGAAGATGGGAAATTAAGAATTACTGGAACACACTAGTTTTCTTACCTTGGGCATATATACTTTAAACTTTCAGCCTGATGTACAACTTAAGACTCAGGGCAGATAGAATTAATGAAGCTCTAGTGGATGTTCCATTTTTAGAAAGGCCAATATTTTTAAATTACTTATAAGAGTTGGTAGTTAATAACTACTTATAGGAGTGTTACATGAATATAAAGTTAGGAAAATATTATCTTGAGATGAATAGTAGAGCAATTTAGTTTTCTTATTTAGGAATGTCATCTTTTAACTACACCATGGTGAATATCACTTGCATTAGTCAACCTTAGGCATTGTGACCAACTTGGAGGAGGAAGTTTATTTTGTGCTCACAGTTTCAGAGATTCAGACCATAGTCAGTCAACTCCATTGCTTTGGGCCCAAGATAAGGCAGAACATCATGGTGGAAGAGTGGCGACAGAGGAAGCTGCTCAGCTCATGCCAGCTGGGAAGAAGGTAGAGTGTTAGAGTTCAGGAAGAGAGCCACAGTGAAAATGCATCCTTCCAGGACAAATCCCCAGTGACCCACCTCCTCCTTCCATACCCCACCTGCCCACAGTTATTGCCCAGTCAAGTCCATTCAAGCTAGAATGGACTACTTAGGATATAGAGCTTACAGTCCAATCATGTCACCTTTGAATATCCCTTCATTAACAAAAACCATATCATCACTCAACAATTCTTGTGTGTGTCCGGAAAAGGGGCCTCTTAAATATCTCTGAATAGAAGCTATATATGTCAGTTGATAACCTGGATCTAAATCTACCTTCTGTAAAAGTTTCAAAGTATCCCTTTGGAAAATACCAACATGTTCCAATCTTATATTTTTAGGACTGCTAACTTTGTTAAAGTAAGAAAAACTTCTACATGTGATTTCCCAGTTTATTTATATGTACATATGCCCAGATATAATAAAGACTAGAAACTTAAATCCTAAAAATTCAAATATTATGCTATTAATATTAACTACATAGTTAACTTTGATTTAGTATTCACACAAGTGCTCAGTATTGTTAATTTTTACATTTTCCTCACAGTGTGTTTTCAAAGAGGTAAAAAACAAAGCCCTAATTAATAATTCTATTAATTTATAAACTATAATGATAAAGGCAGGGTTTCTGAATGGGGCAACAGCAAGAACAACGGTACTACAATACAAATTATGGTGAGAATTATTATATGAAGACATAGTCCAATGCTATGGATGCCTCATAACACTGATAAACTGATAGACTTGGCCCCTTACTTGGAGGTGCAGAATAGCCTTAGATACCATGCACTGGCAGAGAAGCTAATCTCCTGCCCTGCTTCAGCTAATCACATTACAACTCCCATGCAGATATTGGAAGGTGTTTTTGCTTAGGACTAATTATAGCCCTTTGTGAATGAGAGTAGGGGTTAGGGATAGTAAAGAATGTGTGCCTCTCCTGTATTAAAACTGTGGCAATTGTGGATTTTTATAGTAACACATGAGAATTTTTTGCCTTACTAATGGATCAGAAAGTTTATTGAAGTTTGCACCTTTAAAAATAAATTTCAGTATTTTCTATAACTGTTTATTGAATTTATMCACAGCATTAAGCAATTTCTTAGTATCTACTTGAACACACTTTCTAATTGTAGATATTTTCTTTCTTTTCCCTCACATTGTAGGAGGACCCATACATATTTGTTCATAAAAGATGTGCATATACCTTTCACATACAGGCCATTGTGTGCTAGGCATCACAAGGGAATTCAGAGATAAAGAAGACCTGATAACACACACAAATATCAATAAGAGGACTTTGTGACTAACTGGTTAACATTTAATGATATTGCTTGGTCATTTTATAACTAAGATTCCTTTCTATATTTGAAGCTTAACAGAGACACAAAAGCATTTAAATTAGTACTTCAGAAAACAAGTCTGAGATTCTGTTTGTGTTACAACATTTATAATGTGGTTTTTAAAGGACCGCCTGGATCAGATGGGTTACCGGGTTTGAAGGGAAAACCTGGAGACATTGGCTTGCCGGCAACGGAGACAAGAAAGAGGGGCTTTGTCTTCACCCGTCACAGTCAAGCAACAGTGATCCCTGCATGTCCAGAAGGGACAGAGCCACTCTATAGTGGGTTTTCTCTTCTCTTTGTACAAGGAAATGAGCAAGCCCATGGACAAGACCTTGGTAATGTTCTGGTCAGAGTTTCCAGTTGTTTTGCTCCATATGCAGATTGCAAACATTTTAGTTTGGGGTGCTTCCTCTGAAGATAAGTAAAAACAACCTCAAGTGTCTTCCAGTACATTTTAAAGACAGCAACTGGCCTGAAGTCTAAGTTGCATTCTGGTATGTAAAATGCTAGAAGGAGTCAAGCTTGTCAGGTTCAATGAAAATCATTTTCACTTAAAACACCTGTCTTCTTCTTCTTATTATTATTATTTTTTAATTTGTCCTAATTGGTTATATCTGTCTTCTTTTTAATCCCCAAATGATCTTTTCTAAGAAAATTTTATGTGACTATTAGTTGTTCTGAGTAACTAAAACTATTTGAAGCAAAGACATTGCTTTAACCAAACTACACCAGCCCACAAGTTCTAGACTGATTAGAAGGGACCATAGGAAGTATTAAGGATGGGAATAGAAGGATTTGTTTACCTGCTGGGTTTTTATTTCCATCTTGACTAAAACTTATCAATATGACATTTTACAAATAACTAGCTTGTGTTGTCTTTGATCAGGCTGCCTCTCTGTTTTAATAGAATAATCTTCATTTAATAGAATAATCTTAACTGATACTCAGTTCCATATTGTATTAGGGACTCTTGGGAGCTGCCTGCAGCGATTTACCACCATGCCATTCTTATTCTGTAATGTCGACGAAATATGTAATTTTGCATCTCGGAATGATTATTCATACTGGCTGTCGACACCAGCTCTGATGCCAATGGACATGGCTCCAATTACTGGCAGAGCCCTGGAGAGTTTTATTAGCAGGTAAAAATCCAGTCCCTTAATTTGGCAATGGGACCAAATGAATTGCATTGCTTGTAATGGAATGAAACATTGCAGAAAGCGGCAATGCCAGCACAATGTTGATTTTGTGTTACAGATGTACCGTCTGTGAAGGTCCTGCGATGACCATAGCTGTTCACAGCCAAACCACCACCATACCCCCATGTCCCCATGGCTGGGTTTCCCTCTGGAAAGGATTTTCTTTTATCATGGTAAGGAGAAAAGGAACAGCAAAACTATAGCAAAGATTCCCTGCAGAATGTTACATTGTACTGGGTGAAATACGTGGGTGAAATACGTACAGTCCCCACAATGGACACTGCCTGAAACTGTGTGCAAGATGCCACAGATATTTGACAGTTTGCAAATATACTCTTTAAAAACAAAACAGTGTTACCTGTGCTGAGTAATGAAGTGTTGAAAAAAATAGACTTCTCAAGACACAATATTTAGATTAATAGCAACTACCGTGTATTGTTAATGAACTATCTTTTTGTCTATTTGTGTATATGTGTGACAGTTCCTATATATATATATCCTCTATAATCCTAATGATAACCCTGAAAGGTAGTTTGTATCATCTATAGTTCACAAATAAGAATGAAGTAATTTCCTCAGGGTCCCATGACTATGATCGATTTGCCCATTAATAATCTGTAATTGTTCATGACATGTTCTCCCCCGTCTTTGCTCACAGTTATCTATTCATTCACTCATTTATTTAAACAAAAAAAATTTTATTGAACACTACCATGTGCCATGACTATTCTAGGCGCTAGAAATATCAGGAGCCAAAGTTTCTGCTCTCACAAAGCTTATATCCCGGTGATGAAGACAGGCAATAGGCAAACAGACAAAATCCCAATAATGGCAAGAGAAGTCCAGTTGACGACAGGTGCTATGGAGGAAATCCGGCAAGGTAATGTCAGAGGTCAGATGAGGTCAAGGATAGCCTTCCTGAGGTCACCTGTATGCAGATGCTGGAAGAACAAAAAAAAAAAAAAAAAAAAAAGGCCATCAGACATAGGGAAGGAGTGTTCCAGGAAGAAGAAACAACTTTTCCTTCTTTCTGATGACTATATCACAACCTGAAAGATGGCTAGAATACTAGCAAATCTGGATAAAGAAGTACAAGAGGTTTAATCCACTTTCTATGGTTCATTTCCCTGCAGTTTATATTAATCCCCACCCTTCAAAAAAGTAGAGAACTGAACATTTGAACATCAATGGACAGAGATTTTATTCAGATTTTATTGTGATAGTTCACAAGCGCAGGTTCTGAGGGCGCTGGGCAAGCGCTGGCATCCCCTGGCTCCTGCTTGGAGGAATTCCGAGCCAGTCCATTTATAGAATGTCATGGAAGAGGAACGTGCAACTACTATTCAAATTCCTACAGTTTCTGGTTGGCTTCGTTAAACSCAGGAAGAATGTTCAGGTAACTATTCAACATTAAGCTTCATCAACTCAACTGCAGAACTCCAAAGTTGTTCCATTAGCTTTTCTTTACTTATGTATTGATGTTCTCACATTTAATTCCCCACTCCATGCCAATATAAAACCTGTTTACCTTGGCACTCCTAGTTTATAAGTGTTTTGAAGTTAACAAGTCAATACAGTTTTGAACTATAGACAAATATGGGATTTCTACTATCACTCAACATAGTATTTATATATGAATATATAATAAATTAACAAATAAAGCCACTAAATGATCTGCTGTACTGTATTAGAAGACTTGTGAATAATACAGATTATTTAAGGGGTGGGAGCAGTTTTTATCAGAAAAAAAAGATGATCTTGTAAATTTGTATCAAGGCCAAWGTTTCCTGAGAGATGCTGAAATACAACTTAAATTATAAAATGCTGATATATATGYATGTGTGTGTGTATGTGTGTGTGTGTGTCTATGTATATCTTTCCAGAAATTTACCTCTTCTATAAAAAATGTTCTTGTAATAAATTTAGAATAGGTATATTAAGAAAATTCATATCCAGCAAATATTCCATTTTTTACTATAATTTAATGAGGTTTTTTTTGTTGCCACTGCTTTGTTTTTATTTCAGAAAACCTATTCCATCAACTGTGAAAGCTGGGGAGTTAGAAAAAATAATAAGTCGCTGTCAGGTGTGCATGAAGAAAGGACACTGAAGAAGTAAAAGAAATGGAACTGCTGGGGTTTTTTTTTCTCYCACATAACAAAGTAATGACTTGGAACATAAATTTATTTAGGATTTTCTCTCACCAAACAATATCAGTTTATGAAGGCTAAGTAGTACAGTTTCGATTTGTTTCTCCACACAAAGTTAGTTCTGTGATCCTGGTCTCTAAAATTGTATTGTTTCAAAGTTTCCTCTGGTAAGGCAACAACCTGTCACAAATTATCAATGAAATGGCATTCCATTTGTACCCAGACCACCATCTAAGTGGTGGGTGTATAGAGCTGGAATGCTCAAGATAAGAGATATTTGTTCTCTCCTCTTCCAGTCTTTGAGGCTGAGGGAGGCTAATGCAGTCTTAGATTGCCCTGCCACCTCCTTCCTGAAACAAGAGGAGAAGGAGAGAGGGTCACGTGGAACAATGGAGCATCATGAACAGAACTGGACTTTCAGACCTGTGGAGCAGCCTATGGCCTGAGGGAACACAGGCTTAAACTGATGAAGTTCATGACTTTTCCAGGACCCTTTCAAACATACCCCAAACTAAGGCCAAAGAGGATTTCCCTGAATGGAATCATAACATCTTTGGTCTTATTTTATATTTCTTTGAAGATTTGTTTATTCATTGAATTCATCTGTCAATATAGGCTACCTGTATTTAAAGTAGATAAGATATTCACACTAAGTGAATTAACTTTAATAGGACATAGCTACATATACCTTCAAATGTGTCAACTTTTAACTTCTCTTGTTTAGTGTACCCACAAAAATAAGGAGGATACTACTTATTAGATATGCACTTTATCCCCATCCCTATAAATGCTGGCACATATATAATTGGGTTTGATAGTTCAATAATTCATGAAAGGTTATGGCATTTGTTGGTTTATCATGCTCAATATTTTTGCTCTAAATATTCCATTATTTGTTTTTTCAGATTTATTCCTTTACTTTTCTAATCCTTTCTTTATAAACAACAAAAAATGTTTTTTTTATGTTATACATTCTTCAAACCATATTGAGAGAGACCATTGTGTAAAAACCTTAATGTATAAATTGTATAATTTGGTAGCTGTATGTCTTAAGACTTGTTTTGGTGTGTTGATACATTCCCAGGCTTCCTCAGTTCAACTAAAAGGCATTGTAATCAGCACCAAGCTATGTTCCAGGCACTAAACTAAATTAGAGAAAGAGAAGAGGAAAAGAGGGAGAGAAAAAAGGGGGGAGGGACTGTTTCTGATCTATATCTCAGAAAAAGGTAAATTATTGCTTCTCTTAAGAATCTTATACAGGGACTGGGGATGTAGCTCAGAGGTCAAGTGTATGTTCAGCATTCAAACCCAGCACCAAACCAACCAAACAAACAAAAATCTCATATACATGAGTTGTTCTCCTACCTTTTATTCTTCTTTTATTGTTGCTTTTACATTTCATTATTATAACTCAGAAGGCCTGAGTAAAGTTTTGAAGATAAGATCCCTACCCAGGGAAAGCCTTAGACCTCCAGCTTCTTTTAGACCCCTTAGAGGCTAAGGTCTGAACAACACAAAAAAAGCACTGCTCTACAAAACATTTAAAAAATCATTTATATGTGCTGATAGCATAGTTCGATGAGTCTTAGGAGCCAGGCATCATGAGACAGTTCTGAAGATGCTTCTTGATTCACTAAGGTGCAATCAGTGGTGCTAAAATTTAAATTCAGGCTATTGCTCCAGACTCAACTGCCTTGTAAGGGAAAATGTGACTCTGGAGTACTGATATGGTTTACATTCTTCATTTTTCATATGCTCGTTGTCAAGCCATTTTTGCCCCCAAACTGAGACATGCAGGATGTCATTCAGAGTATGTACTTAGATTCACTTACTATTAAGACWTAACCTGCCCTAAAAATATCTTACAGTTTCAACTGTACATAGTGGTGAAGAGGGCTCACTGATCTACATAGGCCAGTAGTTCTCAACGCGTGGCCCCTGGATGGACAATGTCAGCACTGTCTGGGAACTTGTTACAAATGCAAATCCTAGGTCCATTCTAGACTTGGGAAATCAGAAATTGTGTGGGTATAGGCCAGAAATCTGTGTCTTCACATGCCTTCCACATGATTCTGATGTACTCTAAAGACTGAGAAAAGCTGCTCTAAGCAAACACTCAAGGCACTGGCTATAGTTGCCTCTTTTAAAAGTCCAAATTCACAGATGACCCAAASGCAATCTACTTTTGCTCCTAAAACCTCCTGACTGGTGCTAATGGCAAATGCTTGGCACTCACTCAATTGCAAGCTCTATCTCCTCTTGCCCTCTTAACAGTATTTGACTTCTGAGGAAGACAAGTGATGCTAAAACCTTAAATTCCAAGGAAGCTGCATAAACAGCAGTTGTTCAGTCATAATTCTAAGAGTGAGCATTAAAATTCAGCTCATGAATTATTTTCCAGATATTTAGGTGTGGCTTAAAAAAGTTATGAAGATTTAACTTTGTAGATAAAATGTAAGTAACTTGTTTCTTTTAAATTTGGGGCTTCAACTTTGGAATTTCACAGTGTGCTAAAACAACCAATTTCTCAGAGTTCTTTGTTTCTACAAGATAAACATTATTAATTTATTTATAAAAGTATTAAAATGTCTAAATTCGAGTTTTATTGCTAACTTACAAAGATTTTTCTATGTATCAAATGTAACTGCTACTAAACTTAATTTAATATTTACTCTATAACCAAATGGAATATATTTAAAATATATTGAATATTTTATATTGTTATATCCTGACAAAATTACAATATATTGTAATGTACTAATATTTCTGTAATTATAGCTAAAATATTATTTTATTGTATTGTTAGAATAAAACTGAAAAAATTGTATTTGGCATTTGTTTTTTCAAAATAAAAATAATTTTAGATTGTAAAATTAGATGTGCTCTGTGAAAACAATAGGCAATACAGAAATTATGATGAAGAATATAAAGACTATAATGATCTAATCCTCACCCCAACCCAAGATAACTGTCAAATTAAGGTACATCTCCCCTGCTGAATTTTTTCCTATCTATATAATTTTTAAACAAAAATTAGTTAGAAGCATGCTTTATTATTAGTTTTTTTTTTTTTTTCCAGTTTTGAAGGTTGAACTCAAGGCCTTAGGCAAATGCTTTACCACTGAACCACATCCCCAACCCTCATTTTTCTTTTTAACTTAATACGTTGTGGACAGATCTTTATATCAGTAGATAAGTACAAATCATTTATATCATGGTACATCATGTGGATATACAACATAAGTCAATAATCCTCCACTTATGGAGACTTAGTTTCATTGTAGACATATCATGTCATTCTACATTTGTCCAATCATTCCCTCAGTATAAATCACAAAAAAGGAAAATTAAAAGATTCACACAATGTCAGCCCTTTTTATATTAGTGGCTTATTTATTTATTTTTAATTTTTATATGTTCTTTTTAGATATATGTGACAAGAGTGCATTTTGACATATTATACATACATGGAATATAATTTCGCATTCTTGAGGTTGTACATGATGTGGAATTACACTGGTCATGTATTCATGTACGAACACAGGAAAGTTATGTCCAATTCATTCAATTCCACAATGTTAGGTCTTTTGTAGATGTAAAAAAAGGCTCTGTAAAAAAGGTTAGCCCTTTTATTTTTAATTTATTTACTTTTTGTACTGGGGATTGAACCCAGGGGTGCTTTAATACTGAACTATATCCCCAGCCCTTCTGCCCTTTTTATTTTTCTATTATTGTTATTATTTTTTTGAGAGATAGATAGATAGATGGGGGGGAGAGGGGGAGGGAGAGGGAGAGAATTTTAATATTTATTTTTTAGTTTTCGGCRGACACAACATCTTTGTTTGTATGTGGTGCTGAGGATCGAACCCTGGCTGCACGCATGCCAGGTGAGCGCGCTACCTCTTGAGCCACATCCCCAGCCCCCCTGCCCTTTTTATTTTGAGACAAGGTGTCACTAAGTTGCTTAGGGCCTTCCTAACTTGCTGAAGTTGTCCTCAAAGTGTTCTTTTACATCTTTGCATATTGTTTTAATTTACATTTTCCATGTTATCATTAAGGCTAAACATGTCATTTTAATTGAGTGAGTACTTATTAAAAATTTTCTGTGAAAGGCTTAATCATATCTTTGCTCATTTTTCTATTGAAGCTTTTAAGGGATTTTGTAAGCCAGTAATTTTGAAAAGCATATAGATTATAGAAATTATGGGTCATATATTTTGATAAATGGTAATGGATACTCCTCATCCAGGAAAACAATTCATAAAATTTCATATGTAGAGATTTGGGAAAAAATATGAAATCTCAGAAAAAGGAACTTTCAGGCTGTATTAAATGACAATAAAGATACAACCAAGGAATGAAATGGAATGAAGGGATCCTGGGTAATAATTTTTACAAGACAAAAAAAAAATAGTTGAACAAATAAATATCTTAGAAATACTCTCAGTTGTAAGCTTAAAATATGATTTATAAATTCTTTGGTTAAAAAATGTACAAAAACATTTTAATAAACTTACTTTTTACAGCTGGTAAGTAGAATCAACCTGGTGATCAAGCACATTATCTTTCTTTCTAGTATAAGCCTGTTTGGAAAGGAAAATCAGATCAATCTCTAATGGCAAACTATTATCATAGCAAACTATTAGCGGGGCACTTTCAAAACATTAAGAGTAAGTGCCTCCTCTGGTTTGTGCTAKAGGTACTGGAAATTAACAGATAAGCAAACACAGAGGAAGAAGTAACTAATTTTTCATAACCAGGCTAAATATAAACATTCAGATAAATATGTTCCTTCCTCCCCTTTTATTGACTCTATGATTTTTATAAACATGTYGCCATTGCTCCAACTCTTTTTAGAACTACTGCTTTGGAATTATCTTCAATTACAATTTATGAGCTGAACAAGGAAATATGTCTCATTACTTTATATCTGAGATCTACAACATGCTCAATATGTTTCTCTTTTATGGTAAGAGAAAACAAGACATATCCATGGACAATTATAATACTGGGCAGAATATGTAAGTGCTAGAAGAGAACAAATAGTGATTCAGGAGGTGGAAACTGCAGCAAATAATTCCTAAAAAAGGGGACACTTTAGGTAATCCTTTAAGGGATGTTAGGATTCTAAGAAGCAGAAGATAATCAGAAGTCAGTTGGCATTCCAAGTGGCAGGAAGAGAATGGATAACAATAAATGGTTATGAAATAATGAAACAATCTCAGGGAACAACTAGTGGTTAAGAACAATATAATATCTGCACACACATAAATAGAGAGGCACAGTAGAGTAAGTCTAYGACGTTAGATAGGGCTTAGGATACCAGGTTGAACTTTACTTCATTGATTGGTATTGAAGATTTGGTGAAGATTTTGAGAAAATGAGTGGAATTATTATATAATCTGGAATTAATAATCTGGAAGGTCCAATATGTAGTATATGYTCCTCAATTTATGATGGGGTTATGTCCTGATAAACCTACAAGAAGTTGAAAATACCATTAAATTGAGAATGCATTTAATGCATCCAACCTAGTAAACATGATAGCTTAGTCTAGCCTGTCTAATGTGCTCAAAACACTTGCATTAGCCTATACTTGAGCAAAATCATCTAAAACAAAGCCTATTTTATAATAAGTATKGGAAATCTCATGTGGTTTATTGCTCAATCTACTGCAAGCACAAACCAGAAAGATATTTTCTAATTGCTAGCCTGGAAAAGATCAAACTCTGAAATTCAAGGAATGGCTTATTACTGAATGCATTTTGCTTTCATACCATCATAAAACTAAAAAAAATCATAAACTGAACTATCATAAGTTGAGGACTTTATATATACAGTGCTTGTCTGGCTATCTCATACTTTCAAGTTTTTTAAAAATTACTGGATTACTGTTAATAGACTTTTGAACTTGTATATAACTATAAATCAACAATTTTTTTCAAACTGGGACTTCAAATTTRAGATGTCACAATTTATAAAACTAGGTTCCTTGTTGACTCGATGTCTAGGTGGAATTAGAAAAAGACTGAAGATGTGTAGGCTAGTAAAAAGAGTAAAAAACTTGATGATGGTTAATGGCCTACCAGTAAGAACAGATAAAGCAAATAATTGGCATTGAAGAGAGAAAAATCTAAAGCATGAGTTAGGTATTAGACAAGATTCTTCAGAAAAATAAGACCAATAGGGTGGAAACAGGCAGACATATTAGATAGACAGATAGATAGATAGATGGATGGATGAGAAGGAACTCATTGTGGGAAACGGCTTATGTGATTTGGAGGCCTAGAAGTTCCATCTGCAAGACAACCGTGRTTGAGTACAAGTCCAAAAGTCTGAGAACCAGGGTTGCTGATGTGTGGAATGCTCCGTCCAAGAGCAAAGACCTGAGAAACTGGGGTCTACTGGTATAAGTCCTGAAGTACAAAGACCAGAGAATCCAGAATTCCAATGTTCCGGGGCAAGTGAAGATGGGTATCCCAGCTTTGTGTGTGTGTGTGTGTGTGTGTGTGTGTGAGAGAGAGAGAGAGAGAGATGGGGAGCGGGGGTGTTCTACTATCCCAGCCTTCAGTAGGGTGGGGGGTATCCATTATATTGGGTGAGGGTGATCTTGTTTATTTAGTCCTTATGCCCTCAGAGGCATACCTGGAACGTTATGCCAGTTATCTGGGTATTCTTTAATCCAGTGAAGTTGACACTACAAATTAATTGTCATAACTAACTTAGGAGACAGTAAAAGATAACTTCAGTATTTTGAACTTTATTGACTAGAAAAATAAATCTTGCCATGATGAGGGGGAAAAAGGAATCGAAAAAGTATCTGGATGGAGAAGAGGGAAAAACATTTAGTTTGAAACCCTGTTGAGAACAAAGYTTCAATGAACACTAAGGCATCAGGATGAGATGAAATGGATGTACTAATTTAGATTTATATACTATGAGGTTGCAAAAAGAGTCAATGATGGAATAAATCATAAACAGAAATATCCACCTTAATGAGGGAAGAGAAGAAAGACCCAACATGAAGCTGTATCACACAAAAAGAGTGTACAGTTTCTAAGCACAGGAGAGAAAATGCAACCCTCCACCCATCCTTAAGAGAATCTACTACCAGAAAGTGTTAGGTACTTTGACATTTTACAACACTCTCATTTAATTTAGCAGAATCATATTATGTCAGAAGATAAACAATGATCAGTGTTATGGGTTATAATAATGTTAAGGGTTATAGGTTTTATAACTCTATCACAATCTTCATTTGAAAGTTATTCAAAAACATTTTTTTCTTTGCGGGAAAGCAGGAGCAAAAACCAAACTGTAAGTATTGAAGAAGTGGAAAGGTTAATGGAAGTAGTAGGACTCTCATTTAAGGTTTTGATCACAGTTTACCCAGCTTCTCTACCTTCCCCCAAGATGCTGRCTTGGACTGACTCATCATTATTATTGAATGATATTCTTTTAAAAAAATGGTTTGCCACTACAGGGTAGCAGAATATAACATTTTGGCATAAAGATTATTTTGAGTCAAAGGCACTTGAGAAAACAGCAGATGCAAACAAGCCTCTGGCCTTCTTCTCTCTTCCTGAAACCAAGAGATAAAACTCCCACATGAAGGGTGACTTCCTTGTACTGGGAAGAAAGACATCTTTATCGTCAGAGTCAGGGCGTCAAGTCTGAGAAAATGAGTACAAACCAACCTTGTTAAACTAGCTGTTATCTGCCCAGTCAGTTCTCCACAGTCAGCTGCCCTGGCCCACACTCTTTTTGTCTTCTCACATTTTGACAATTTACTATTCTTTGTTCGACCCAGTATATAAGATTTGGACCATAACTGCTTCTTTGGGTTTTCATTTTTCTAGTGACAACTCCAGTAAAAATTACTAAACAAAATCTGTATGCTTTCTTTCTCTTATCTGTTTTTTGTCCATTTGATTATTAGGCCCAGCTGAGACGCTAAGAGGAAATTTAACCTTCCTTATACCAATATTAAGATGGGGCCCAAGAACACAATTTGGAAAGCTTCCCAAATTATTTTAAAGACTGGTAACCTCTCTGATTCTAGAAAAGTGCTTCACTCATGTGTAAACAGTATTCCCACGGTAATTTCAGGGCAAGGATGAGGGGCTTGGTTCCACAACCCCCACAGATAGATAAATCCGTAGATGGTCCAGTCCTTTATAAAATGGTATAGCTTTTGCATATAACCTACCCACATCCTTCCATATACTTTAAATAAGTATTAGACTATGTATAATACCTAATACGATGTAAATAGTTGTCAAAGTCTACTGTTTAGGCAGACTAACCAGGCGGTGGGGAGTCTGTACATGTTTAATGCAGACATACATGTTTTCCATCTAAGGTTGTTTAAATCCAAAGATAAACAGCCATAAATGCGGAGGACCGTCCCGTTCTTCACTACCGAGGCCTACACAGGGTTTCTTGGCTTGGCGTCAGTTTGTCCTTAGGTTAGTGGGAAGTGTTAGAAATTAGGTGGGAGAGAGCTCCCAGGAAGCTAAACAATGCAGCGAACCACCAGGAGACCTAACTGAACTTCCCCCTTCTCAGGGTCCTTCGCTGGAGGGCTTAGAGAGTAATCAAAACCAAAGTGCTTAAGAACCATTCCCAGAGTTGTTTAAATATGCAGACTCTTGGGCTTCGCACCAAAGACGTTTTGACGCAGGTGGTCTGAGAAGCTGTTATCTTAACCGGATTCCCAAGGTTTACCTTGTAAACTAAGATCACGCACGCTAATTAGCGCTAACCGTGGATCAAATTTAAGTACCTCCAACGTTACTTGAGGTCGGCGTATTTTGCCCACAACAAAGATGTCTCTCTACCGCCGTCTCGCGGGTCCCCACTCCTGTGCGTGAGCTGTACGTCCGCCCTTTCCCGCATCACATGACCAGAAACCTGCTTCCTCTACGGCTCCTGAAAGGGGCCAGTCCTGGCCGTTCTCGCGTCTCTGCTGGCCCGCTGAGGGCCGCTTGGCCGGTGCTTTGCCCCGGCGCCTCAGTGCGCTCGGCCAACGGCCTCTAAGAGCGCTCACCCGAGCGCCCCGGGAGCCAGCGGGCGGCGGCCCTCTCTGGGACTCTCCAGCGGGCCCAGGGGTGAGTGCTGACGTCTTCCCGATTCGGGACTCCCACCGGAGCCGTCCTCCGGGCCTAGAGCTGCGGCAGTGACCCTCCGGTCGACCGAGAGCCCGCGATAGCCCAACCCGCCTGAGGTGTCGCCCCGGCCGCAGTCAAGTCCCCAGGCCTTTCCTCCTCAGCATCTTGTCGCCCTCGGGTTCCGAGGAGCGGAGGAGAGCGTGGCGGCGGAGCGGCCGGTCCTGCCGCTGTCGGGCCCGCCTCCTGGCCTTCCCAGCCGAGCGCCCCGATGTGTGCAGAAGTTCGGATTTGACTGCATGGAACCTGAGCGGGCTTGGGAAGCCGGGGAGAGGCTTGCGAGCCCGGTTTGACCTTGAGCCCGCGGTGTTTAAAGTGGCTTTTTGTTGGGTTTTGTGGAAAATACTGTTAGGAAAGAAGGGCCGGTTGGAAGCCCAAGCAGTGGCATCCGCGGTGCGTCCCCGGGAAGGCCCTGCGGCTCTATGAGCATCCTTGCTCCGGGGCGGGGATGCCGGCGTTGCGCCTCGCAGGCCCCCGGGAGCGCAGAAGCAGGGGCTGMTGGAGAAGGTCCTTCCTGCAGGAGTCCCCCTTCTGGGGCAAAAGAAAAACCCCAACTAGGCAGAGGGAWGAGCGCTCGTTCTAAAGTGGTGGCGTCTTTTTATTGCAGAAGATGARCAAAGCTTATGCCAAATATCGAACCAGATAGTGATCGGGAATGTTTTCTCTCCCGGGGAGGAAGACATTTCTGCCTCAATCCTCTTGGCTAATGAAATCCCACAAGAAAAACCCTTAGGGAAATTAGGACGATTTAAATTGCACTTAGTACTTAGTCTCTCCGTGCAATTAAATTGGGGGAACTTGCCATCTTTTTGGTTTCCGAGTCTTGTGGATTCCTAAGCTGTTTTTCTTTCCAAAGGAAGTTGTGTGTTGTCTCCCTGTCTGATAGGGCTACCTCATCTTAGAATTACTGTACTTTCCCTTCTGCTGTTGAAACTTTCTGTGACTAATAGATCTTTCTCAAAGTGTTCTGTGACTTTTCTTTAAAAAATGAAGTTAACCCTGGATCTCAACAATTATTTTTTTCTGGTACACCATAATTGCTTAGAAAGAGAACCCAAACAGGGTGACCTAAATAAAAACCTTGAACCAAGTCCACACAGTATCTGTTAAAGAATTGGTTTGGGGTTTTTGTTTGTTTGTAATTGTAGAATTATATAAATTTCTACTGCCACAATTTAACTCAAGTTGTTTCTGTGACTTTCTAGACTTTATGGTGTCCAGTGTTCTGATTAGAAAGTGAGAAATTGGGCTTGAATCATTGTGTCTCCAAATTGGTACATTTTTTCTACCAGTGGTTTGTAACTTGACTCTAGATGCTAATATAGATGAGGGTTTGTTTTAATAGTTATATTTTTGTTACATGTATTTATGTGTATACATAAAGTCTGTGGTTTAAGGTAGATATCTAAAACTTTCTTTAAATATTTTTAAGTCAAGTTGAAGAAATTAAGTGCAGCCAAAAGTAAATCTACTATGTGGATACAGGGGGCAGGGGACRTGAAGTTTGAAATTATCTTTGATTCTGAGGAAGATTTTGTTTCATTAGCTATATTAGAATCATGTGCTTGTTGCCTAGTAGATGCTAAGTGACAAAACTTCTGGAATTAATATATTAACCCCAAATGAGAAGTTTATTTATTGCCAAAAGATTTTGCTCAAAGTTCCCTAGTCCAATGAGGGAGAAAAATAATCAAATTCTTATCTGTTTTATTTAAGCAGAAAACACAGTGATTGAGACAGTAATGTTAAATCTTAGTGCAAAAGTTTTATTTGCTTTTAAATTTAAGTAGTTCRAGTACAGAAGATTTTGGATTTCTCCAGAAGTTGTTTTTTCACTGTCTACCTATGTGTTCTAAGTCCATGATTCTTTACAAACTCAGAGATTCTCATAAGAAATGATGCTACTGTGGAATGAAATGTTGAGACCCTTGAGATGTTCTAGTGCAAAGTTAATAAGAAGACTGAAATGCAGTGAAGAGAATGTGGAGACCAGCACATTTCAAAGAAATGATRTGTTTCTAACAATTGATGTCCATTGTTTATTAGTATAAAAATTCAATTTATAATATCCCAARRCTGATATTGTTTTGGGATATGTCTTTTCAGTGTCATTTCTGAATATAAGCTTTCACTATGCTTCAGATAGACTTTAAGAATTTGAAGAGTATCTCATYTAGAACAGTGCACCAAACTAGTAGAGGTTGCCTTTGGAGACCTGAGTGGTTGAAGACAAGATTTATTGGAACACTTTATTTTCTCCATATGTTCTTATGTACATTGCCATGTACATTTATTACTGATTCCATTTTAAAAACATTTTAAGTGAATGGAAATTTATTTCTTATGCACATATAAATAAACGTATAATATTATTAATTTAAATATATTTTCTCTGTCATATTTTTCTAACTACAAATAAGAAACAATGATAGAGATGTCTTACTTGAAGAATAATCATAGGGTACTGCCTGTGGGACTAAAATTGGTGGTAAGCTTATTTTTTTTTTCTTTGTTTGAGGAGGATACTGGAGAGTGAATCCGGGGCGCTTAACTACTGAGCCACATCCCCAGCCCTTTTTTGTATTTTATTTAGAGACAGGGTCTCACTGAGTTACTTAGCGCCTCGCAAAGTTGCTGAGACTGGCTTTGAACTCAAGATCCTCCTGCCACAGCCTCCTGAGCCTCAGGGATTACAGGAGTGCACCACCATGCCTGGCTCTTTCTTTATTCTTTTATTCATTTCTTAGTCTAAAGTTGTATATCTTTACGAMTTTTGTCATTTGAAGAATTTCCAGTTGGAAATTGGAATTTCCAATTAATATTATTATCCTCTAGTTTCTCAATTAACTCCTGTTTTTCTCTCCTAGGAACAAAAGTGGCTCTAACTCCAGCACRTGCACAGTGAAGCAAGTTGAAGGATTTAATATGAAGCACAGAAGCAGATAGTGCCAAACAGCAAGCAGTAGTTGGTACACATTTGTGAGTAAAATTTTCTCTTTGGCTTATTTTCTTAGCTTGAAACTCTGTATGCCCAATCCTTAGAATTCAGACATTTTGGTAAAGAACAAAAGAAGCTAAGTTAGCATTCATAATGAAACCAGTTGTCAAGGCTCAGCACACTAAGCAACTTCTGAGAWCTCTCTTGAGTGTCTCAGTTAGATGGAATTTAAGATGTAGAGTACATCTCTGATATGGAGTTTAAGAAATATCCCAGCTATGGTGAAGACATTTATACTGTCTTTAATTGCTTATTGATCTGGACTTATATAATATCATTTACTAGAAGCTTAGTGTAATTTGGTTTTTGAAATTTATATGCCTTTAAGAAAGCCATTACATACATATACATCAAATTTTAGGCTACCTCTAATACATTTATTATTATCCTTTGCATTCTCTTTATGATTTCTTCATTTGTCTTTTGTCTAAAAAATTAAAGGTTTTTTTCTCCTTTGGAATATAATGATTAAAGGAGCTTTATAGCAGTGTTGATTTTTTTTTTCTAATTTAATACCAAATCTGTATCATCAGTACAATTTTTCTTTATCCTGCTTGCAAACTTGTAACACAATGGCTATGCTTAAAAAAATGATAAAATTATCTTTATTATAATTTTTGAGATACAGAATAACTCTTGAAGAAAGATTTCAAAAGTGATTTCTTAGCTCTATTCCAAGTCATGTTCAAGTCCAAAAGTAATGTTGAGTATATATTCACTTTTATTCATAGTTTTCTTATGAAATGAATTGTCAAAATACTGATTTTTATTCTTTCTTTTTTACAGCTGGAAAAGCAGTGTCCGTGTTGTTATGTACACCTCCAAAAAAAAGTTCAGATCTGTAGGGGAATTGTTGTGTAAAGTAAACTGAACTACAGGGTAGCAGTATTTTAATAGCTATTGTAGACGTGTATTTACTGTATTAAAATGAGTAAAAGATCAAGCAGTGACACACCACTAGGAAGGTCAGTGAAATTTTTTTCAGTTGAGTTAGTATTAAAGTTTGAAAGACAGTGGCTTAAAAGCTGTTTGCCATAGGCTAATCATGCACTTTTATGCTTTTATCAGCTTTTTGTACGTTGGGACAATATTCTCTCTATTGCATTTCCCTGGAATCATGTATCCTTCTCTAATTTAGAAGRCTAAGTGATGCATTTGTACGGTCTTTTCCCCAAAGATATTTCATGCTTTTGAAGAATACACATATAAATAGTCAGGCATGCTGGCTCACACCTGTAATCTCAGTGACTTGGGAGGTCCAGGCAGGAAGATTGCAAGTTGAAGCCAGCTTCAGCAATTTAGGAAGGCCTGAAGCAACTTAGTGAGTCTCTGCTCCAAAAAAATAATAATAATAAAAAGGGTTGGGGATGTGGCTCACTGATTTAGTGCCCCTGGGTTCAATCCCAGTACTCAAACAAATAAATATAAAAATAAATAATGYGATTCTTTTAATCCCTCAAAAAAATGAATGTGTACTTTAAGGGTTTATTAATATTGTCTACTTGCTATTCATTGCATCTCARTCATCAGATATATGTTCAATAGGAGAGGTTTTAATTTGTATTTTGTGATTTTCAGGGGGTCACATCTTTTTAGTAAATTCAGCATAAACATTATTCACCTTTCGGGTCTGGTTTTCATCATTAAAAGCTTTTATTTTTTGCATGCATGAAAGCAATTTCTAATTTATATAAAGTCAAACAGCTTTCTCTTAAATAATTGTTCAGGGTTTTTAGTTTATTTGTTGTTGTTTTATTTTGTTTGCAGTGCTGGAGATAAAACCCAGGGTCTCATGCATGTTTGGCAAGCGCTTTACCACTGAGCTACATTCCTGGCCCTCTGATAAGGAATTTTTAATTTAAATTTTATTTCAGGCATTATTAAGTTATAAGCATTATGCATTTCTGTTTTTGCAGAGGAAGAGTATGTATTTTCTTATGTATGTGTGTGCGCACGCATGCATACACATGTTTGTGTTGCGGTTATACAATAATTTTAAAAATTTGTTCCTGAGCAAGCAATATCTTCAAGATGCAATTTCAGCTATTAGGTGAAGACATTGTGTTGAGGAAAATATTTTCTTTAATCTTTTATTTTTCTTTTGTATGTATTCAATGCTCAAAAATGAGATGTTTCCTTTTGCTTTAATATAAGGTATTGTCTTCTATAAGACAGCATAGAGGACTGAAATTCTAACAGTCATCCTGGTCTTAAAATTTTCCTTCCACAGGGTAAGTGGGGCAGCATTTCCTTCACCCACTGCTGCTGAGATGGCAGAAATTAGTCGAATTCAGTATGAAATGGAATATACCGAAGGTATTAGTCAGCGAATGAGGGTCCCTGAAAAACTAAAAGTAGCACCACCAAATGCTGACCTGGAACAAGGATTTCAAGAAGGAGTTCCAAATGCTAGTGTGATAATGCAAGTTCCAGAGAGGATTGTTGTAGCAGGTATTTCATGTTTGTTTAGAAAGTTGCCTCATAATCTGTTTTACATATTTTTGTGMAACCTTTTGGGGTTTTAAAACATTATTTAGAAAAGGGTTTGGGAAATACAACTTTGTTTTAAAAATTTTCTACTCATTACAACTGTTTGAATTTCAAGCAATTTCAAAAGTATTTTGACAAATTACTGAGATTTTACATGGATAGTATGTATACATTTTTAGGTGTATAACTGATGATTTTTGATAAACATGTAACCATGTAACTACCACAGTTGATATGACCATTTTTGTTAACCAAAAAGATTCCCTTGTGCTTCTTCTCCATCATTCCCTATGCCTCAACTCAAGTCAACTAAAATTTCTTTCTRTAACCAGAAACTAGATTTATCTTCCCTAGAGTTTCATATATATGGAATATAATATATACTGCTTTGTCTGGCTCCTTTTGCTTGTGCAGTGTTTCTGAGATTCTTCCATATGGTTGCATATATTAATTGTTCGTTCCATTTTATTACTGAACAATATTCTAGTATGTAAATAAATAATAAATTATCTATTCACTTGTTGRACATTTGAGTTGTTTCCTTTTGGGAGCTTTTAGGAATAAAGCTTCTATGAATATTCATGTACATGTCTTTTTGAGAACATATGTCTTCATATCTTTAGAAATGAAACTGCTGGGTTATAAGTTATATTTAACTCTTTCAAATGCTGGCAATCTGTTTTCCAAATTATTGTCTCATCAGTGATATGAGTGTTGAAGTTGTTCCAGATTCTTGCTAAAAGTTCATATTTGTCAGTCTCTTTAATTTCAGTCATTTGAAGGGGTGTGTAATAGCATTACCTTTTGATTTTAATTATTAYTTCCCTGATGATTAATAATTTTGAACATCTGCTCAAGTGTTTTTGGTCACTCATATATCTCCTTTTGAATCATTTATTCAGATGTTTTGCCAATTGGAAAAATTGAGTTTTATAAAAATTTCTGTACATATCTGGATACTAGTTTTTTTAATCATGTATATACTGCATAATTTCTTTATAAATTTCTGTGTCACATATTAAATAATAGTGAAATATCAAACTTACAGTGAAAGTAGTTATAAAGAAACTAATGCTATTGAGTATGTTATAATACAAAAATGATACAAAGTAAATATATTTAAACCTACCCTCTTTTTTTTTTTTTTTCTTTTCTTCATCTTAGGAAATAATGAAGACATTTCATTTTCAAGACCAGCAGATCTTGACCTTATTCAGTCAACTCCCTTTAAGCCTCTGGCACTAACAACACCACCTCGTGTACTTACACTAAGTGAAAGACCACTAGACTTTCTGGATTTAGAAAGATCTCCTCCTACACCTCAAAATGAAGAAGTGAGTAGAGTTTTAGTAACAATTGAATTTGAAAGAATATAAACAAAAGTAAAAGTTAAGGAGAAATTAAGAGGCTATGTATCATATCATTACATCTTTCCATGTGGTACACTGCTACTGTCAATTCTGATTTGTAAATTCTCCAAATATTATGCTATAATTTTTTAAAATATGCATCAGGAAAATTAAAATCTTGTGGGAAATATTATTAACATTCATGTAGACTTGAAAGAAGAACTTTTATGACTAGATGTTATATATTAATACAGAGAAAGTTGCAGAGTTTTACAGTAGGAAAAATTAATACATCTCTTTTTATAAGCTCAAAGTTTATAAAGTCTGACAGACGGAGCTAAGGAAACTCTTTTTTTTTTCTTTTTCTCTTTTTACAGTACTAGGAATTGAACCCAGGTATGTTCTACCATTGAACCACATCCTTCCCTTTTTAAATTTTGTCTCAAGACAGGGTCTCACTATGTTGGTGATCCTGGCCACAACTTGCAATGCTCCTGCCTCAGTCTCCTAAGTAGTTGGGATTATAGGACTGGGCCACTGCACCTGGCACAAAGCTCTTTTTCCCTTGACCTTCCCCATTCTTGATAATTGATGAAATGTTTCTACTGAGTTAGCTACAGTACCGCATATAACATTAGTACCCTTGTTGACTAAGCATAACAGTATGAATTAACTAGTTTTTAGCAGTAAAGCTCAAGTTTTGCCTCTGCTATTAACTCAGGACCAGTTTTTTCTTAAAACTTCTTGATGATTTAGTTGCATATTTTTCGTTATAGCTTCTGAACTTCTGATGATGTCATGAGGCTTGTACAAGACAATAATATCAGCCAGATGCAGTGGCACATGCCTKTAATTCTAGCAACTCAGGAGGCCAAAACAAGAGAATTACGAGTTCAAAGCCAGTTGTGGTAACTTAGCAAGACCCCACCTCAAAATAAAAAATAAAAAGAACTGGGATATGGCTCAGTGGTAAAGTGCCCTGAGTTCAATCCCTGGTACTACAAAAAACAAAAACAAAGATCATGCGCAAGCATTTTTTTTTAATTGGTCCTGCCTTTCTCTGCTTTCATTTTTCGTGCAGTCCATTCCAAAGGGGGTTAAGCACTCATATAAACTAGGGTAATGCAATTTCCTAGTATTAGGTTTTGCTTATTTTTAGGTTTAAAGTTCCTGCTGAAGTACTTGAGATAATATACTCTTAGGTGCCAAATTGTACATTCTAGATATGCTTAGTGAAAGCACTAAATTTGATTCTTTACATGACAGAAAGGCACCAAGGTAACTGTAAATTTTTTTTTTATTTAACAATCATTTTTTGAGCTTCTATATATAAGACCTGAATGTAGTACAGGAGTGAATGACAGATAGCTCCTGTTCTCAAAAAATTTACTATTTGCTTGGTGTTATGGTTTAAATGTGAGATRTCCCCAAAAAGCTCACGTGAGACAATGCAAGAAGGTTCAGAGGAGAAATGATTGGGTTGTAAGAGTCTTAACCCAATCAGTGATTTAATCCCCTGAAAGGGATCCACTGAGTATTAATTGAAGTGGTAGGGTGTGGCTGAAAGAGGTGGGAATTGGGAGCATGGCTTTGGGGTATATATTTGTATCTAGCAAGTGGAGACTTCTCTCTCTGCTTCCTGATCATCGTGTGTGCTGCTTCCCTCTGCCACACTCTTCTGCCATGATGTTCTGCCTTAACCACAAGCCAGCCTTCTATGGTCTAAGACCTCTGAAACCGTGAGCCCTCAAATAGACTTTTCCTCCCCTGAAGTTGTCCTGGTCATAATAGTCACAGGAGCAAAAAAGCTGACTAAAACACCTAGTCACAGCAGAATAATGCTATAAGGGAAAACATCGACACACAGAAGATATAAAGTTCTTTATTAAAAAAAAAATGATAAAGATTATAAAGATGGCTATACAAAGCAAAAAGTGCCACAGAATGCCCCCAGTTAGGGGTCTACTTTCCAACTCCCCAGAGTTCCCCTTGGAAGTTAAAACTGTGAGAAATACTGTCTTGGAATAAGGATTCTAACAGGAGAGCGTTGCTTTATTTGTTATTTGACAGGTTTTGTTTTTCTTTTGATCTTTCTGAAGATAAAAATAATGCCAGTGCATAAGATTGTTGTGAAAATTCATGTTAAAACTCAATGTGTATAGACATTATTGTTATAAAAGAGTAAACATCCTATAGCAGGATCCAAGTCCTGAAAGAGAAGAGTTTCTGAGAGTAGTACTAGCTGCCTACTGAAAAGCTGTGACTGTAGTCTGTACTTCCAAGTTTGTAGAAGGGTCAGGTAGCTGTCAGGAGGTAATCAACCAATGAATGGGGGAGGGAGCCAGAGTTCTTACAGCTGTTAGATATGGACTAAAATAAAAAGGCAGTAGGTTCTGCAAGCTGATGACATTGATGATTCATTCAGTGTATAAAGTGACATCCTCAGAACCATTTGCTCTATAGTAATCATTCTCTAAAGAGATGCCAGGGTTTCTCTACCTCAGCCCTATTGACATCTTGAATTGGAAAACTCGACAGTGAGGCCTGTCCTTTGTATTGTAGAATGTTTAATTACATTCCTAATGTCTGCCTGTAAGATGCTAGAAGCATCCTCAAAATCATGACAATAAAAAGTATCTCCCGCAACTAAAATATAGAAACAGATCAAATTTCCATCAACTAATGAATGGATAAATAAAATGTATAATATCCAGAGAGTGACTATTAATTGGTAAAAAGGAATGGAGTACTGATACCTGGTATAACATGAATCAACTTTGAAAACATGCGAAGTTTAAGAAGCCAGACAGAAAAGGCCATGTATATTCTACTTGTRTGAAATATTCAGAATAGGCAAATCTATAGAGATGGACAGCAGATTAGTGGTTGCCAAAGGATTGAAAGAGAGAGAGGAATTAAGAATGACTGTATAATCTGGATGGGGTTTCCTTTTGTGATAATGAAAATGCTCTYGAATTAGATAGTGGTAATGTACAACATAGTGATCATGCTAAATGGCACTGAATTATACACTTAAAAATGGTTAAACTGGGAATTGTATGTTATGTGTATTTTACCACAATTAAGAAAAAAATATCTGCAGACATTGCCAGATATTCTCTACAGGGCAGAATTGCCCTTAACTGAAAGCCACTGTCCTATGTCAAGAAAGGAGACTACTGGGGAAAGACTTATGAGAAATAATTTAAAATTGTTGTTCAAAAGCCTAGCTAATGAGTTGAATATGGTAGTACRTATTTGTAATCTCAGTTAACCTTGAGAGGCTGAGGCCTGCCTGGACAACATAGTGAGACCTTATCTCTGAACAAATGAATGAAAAAGAAAATATGACTGACTCAAGGAAAAAAAAATGTAGAAATCAAATGCACCTAATTTCGTAAACTGGCTTAAAGAATCCAAGTGAGTCTACATGAAGGGCTTAAAACCCTTTAGCTGAAGTCAGTGGAAGATCTTCCAGAGTACAAGAATAAAACAGTACATAGAAAAATAATTGGGAAATGGTACTTCTGAGAAGATTTGACAGCTGTGAGGAGTGTGACCAAGGCAAGGATTTGGATTCAGCAACATCTCCTTTCAGTCAAGCAGCAGTATGCTTTGTAAAGATCAGCTATAGGTAAATGTCAGAGCTTTATGAAAGTTCTTTGAAGTAGGAAGAGAAAACAGACTGTAAAGGATGAGTTGTAAGAAGTTTTTGCCAAAATTCACAATTCCTGCTTCAAAGAAGAGAAGTACTAGAATGCTATCCATTTCTGTAATAAATCTTTAGAAAAGCACCAAACCCCAAATGTGCCTAAGAAATATTAGTTAATCAAAGCAATCTGGAAGGAGCAAAACCAGTTGGTCTGAATAAACTTTACCTGATTTTGGAAGAAAAGAGCAAAGGCAATGAATGTTTTCTTCAGAGAAGAAACTTATCTCCGAGCCATGTCAAATGATCAAATTCTACTATACAAAGTGTGAAGCCAGAACTCTGGGACTAGGAGAAATATTACCCAGCTAGAGCCAACTTCATCACCAATTACACTTAGAAAGCCATGGTTATAGAAGCTGAAGGATAACACAAAAGCTATAGACTCRGTAATCCTACTGTAAGGGTCTTGTTCCCTACTTATTAGTGCCTTATTGACATGAACCCTGAGGAGGTGAAGCTAAATATCATATCTGATCTGAAGTATAGGGAGTCACTCAGCTATGCAACAGAGCCTGAAACAATTGCAAACKCCGCCGGCATTCCATGAATACTCAAGAGAGCCCTGTAATAGCTAGAAAGAAAGCAAGTTTCACCTTCTTATTTATCCTTACGGTGCATGAATAAATGCACCTGGTTGTGGAGTTGTTAAATTTTGCTTACAATCGCCTACAAGTAATTTTGATTTGGGGGTTAACTATAACATACTTTTGCAATAGGCTTCAAATGGACTCTTCTGTTTTCAGATGTTATTTTTTTCACAGACCCTCCCTCAGTCTTTCTCCAGTATCTATTGTTGAGAACTATTCATTTCATATACTATGTAGTTAAACCTACAGTGGTTGTGTCTGTATTGAAAACTATAGATTTTTTTCTTTCTTCTCTGAGCAGTACAGCATAACATCTCTTTGTGCAGCATTTATTTTGTATCGCATTAGGTGACTTAAAGTGTATGGGAAGATTACATAGCACTATGCCATTTAAACAATATATATGTCTGGCAGTAATTCTTGGTTGCTTTTCCTTGGTTCCTTGTAATTTTTATGAATAACCCTGGATTAAGATTCTTTTGATGCTAAGCAGCTACTAAGAATATTTTCTGTCCTCTTCCCTTTGTGCCTTAACAGATCCGTGCAGTTGGCAGGCTAAAAAGAGAGCGCTCTATGAGTGAAAATGCTGTTCGCCAAAATGGACAGCTGGTCAGAAACGATTCCATGTGAGTAGAACCACTACACATTGTATCATGTTTGTAAGTTTTCTCAGTTTATTGTCTATATGCATCTTTTTCTAAATAGTTATTTCCCATAATTTTGGAATCTGTTTTACATTTACATCAATTTTGTATTTTTACAGTACTTTTTATAGCCTAAAATCTGACCATTTTGTTAGTTGTATGAATTTTTCAGTAACATTATCTTCCATGTGTGTCTGATACTCTTTTGTGAGTATGATTGGCTTATTTGGGAATTCTATAAAGTATACTTAATTGATGAACATAAGTGCTCAGTTATAAGCAGTCTTTAAAAATGTTTATCATATACACTGAAAAATAAAACAGAATAGAATGTCTTTATTTTCAAGTTATTGATATCATGATTGTAAGTCAGCCATTTTCAGCTCTGTTTAGTGAGCTGAGCTGTGGCAAACTGCAGCATAGACAAGTAGAATTTTGCATATCTTTCCAGGAATAGTGTTTGGTGTTTAGCTTTCTACCTGCTGATTCTTGAATTGATAGGTTCCTTTCATTAAAAAAAAAAAAAATACAGAGATCTTGTTTAAAGAACTATTTGTTTAAATTCTTCTTTCTTATTTGGTTATGTTATCACATCATGATCTTAAAACTACTCTAAGATGTTTCAGATTAGGAAAATGCTTTTTATTGTTTTGTTGTAATTAACTGATTTTTACAAGTAAAATATCCTTTGAAAACTGGTCAGAATTTTAAATCTTACACTAGTAAGATTATTTAGATTATTTATACAAATTAATATTCTTCCTCATTAATTTTTTATCAGTTTCCATGAACTCATCAGGAACCATATGTGTTATCAACCATAATATTAGCTTCTCTGAGAACTATGAAAGAATCAGGTGGTATTAGATCTTTTCTGGAAACTTGAAAATCTAGATAAAAGCAAAACATTTAATTTTATATACAAAATAAGTAGAGCACAGTACAATTATACTATTTATATCAAAACAGTAAGTTCTAGTTTGTACTTGACTAAAGAGTGTGGTGTCCAGAGGGACTTTGATGAGGGTAGGAGCTTAATATTCAAGTTGGAAAGAAAATGTTTTTCATATGTTTTTATCCTTGCTTTGAAAGAAGACTTATGTATGAATCCAATCAGTGAAATTCYAACTTAAGTATAAATTATCTGCTTSCTTCATTGAAATTCCTTTCTCTTATGTTAGGTTCAAAAGAGAATTATAACTGCTCTGATTCCTTAAGAGTCTCAAATGCCCTTTAACGAAGTTGTTATTCTGTAGGGTTATATAAAAAGAGAGTTAAAAACAAATGTATCTCCTTTAGGTATCTAAAAGGTTCAACTATTATTAATATGAAAGTATCTATGATTAATTTTATCTTTCCTGGAAGGTATCTGATTGCCAGATGTGATGGCAACAAGTTCATAAGATCCATATTTTCCCAGAATATTTCCTAATATAGCATACAAATAATTAAAAGCTATGTAGTTTATGGCTAAGTTAGATTAAACACACCTAAAGTCTTAGGTTATTTTCTATTTTTTTTTAAGGTAGCAAAGTTTCTAGTAAACTTTCTTACTACATAAAGATGTGATTTACTACTTAGGACCTTAATTACTTTGACAAGTTCCTATAACATAAAAAGATTAATAGTGTTCATTTTTAATTTTCACTTTAAATAGCTTTGATGCCACTTTCTAGTTGTTTAAAAAAACTAAAAATTTTGTTTTGAAAATCCCATTTTTTGACAGTGAAAGTAATGTRAAATTTTTATATATTTCACAGTGAAACACTTGATATTATTTAACCATACTTTTTGTTATAGTTGTTATACATGTTGCCATGTTAGTAGTAAGATATTTAACTCTTTATGTTAATAATGAAACTTTGCCCTTTCTTCTCCTACCATTGTTAATTTTATAATTTATAATATTCATCTTTAAGGATCCATATCTCACTAAATTTAGGAATTTTGTATAATGAGCATATCACATATTCAATGCTGTTAATGTGGTAAGAAAAAATTAATACAGCTATAGTTACCTCTATTAAAGTAATTATTAAAAGCTTCCTGCCTTTACCAACTTAAATCTTTTCTTTGTAGTAGGAGACTATGCATCATTATGCATGAACCTTTGCCTGCTTCCACTTTATTTTATGAATCTAAAAATGAAAGTGTGAACAGCTATAAGAGCAAGGGCATAGGCTTTTGTTTTCTTACTACTTCAAAGAGGCAATAAGATTGATTATTGTCACCTATTGGCAAAAATGAATTCTGACAGTAGAATCATTTCTAGCTTTTTTTGTGTGTTATGAAAGCTGAATATGTGAAAGAAGCRTAATTATTATTTAAGGTGGCACAGATCAGATTCTGCCCCGAGAAATAAAATTTCAAGGTTCCAGGCATCGATTTCTGCACCGGAATACACGTAAGATTTTATCTGCTCTGCTTTTCACAAGTAGGAGTTGTTCTAATTTTTCAGGCTTCTGTTAATACTAATTAATTAATCTATTTTACTAGGTAATTGGTATGTACTACCCTAATTCTCTTTTTCTTTGGCTTTTTAAGTACTTCTCTTTCAGGGTTTCTCAAACTGTCATCATACATTTTATTAAGTAAAAAAAAAAAAAAGACCAATTGAGGAAGTTTTATGTGGTTATACGTATTGGTGAAAGGAAAATGGAATGATTAATGCATAAAGATAAAGCACCTTTTTCTGTTTTCTTTATTTTGCTTTGGTTAGCCTATTAGTATTCTGTAGATTCAACGTAAGCAGTTTCAGTAATCCAATTTTTTTAATTTTAGCACACTATCTTTTCTTGTTTAATTTTGACCCAGAAGGAGAATGGATTCTTTACTGRGGTTTGTTTTTGAAGTTGTTTGTCTGCCTTTGTGTATTTTTTTATTTGTTTTAATTAGTTACACATGACAGTACAATGATCTTGACATATCGTACATTTGAATCAGATGGGATATAATTTCTCATCTTTGTGTATTTTTAATTCCATCTGTTAAATTATTCTTGGAAGAATTTTGTGAGATCCTTAAACTCATTTTTTTTGTAAGTGTGACAGAATAAAGTGTGGTAATGACTGTGCTCGCATGAGAGGAAACATTTTGGTGTTGTGCAGTACAAAAATTCAACAGTGAATATAGTTCTTTAAGAAATAAAGAAACCACACTAATGGCCAATAGTTTTTCTCTTATTATGGTTTTTTTATTATGCTTCTGGGGACTGGTAAATTATCTTATAGATAGCAGTAGCAAATTAAAATTTTCTGTTTCAAATTTCAAGAGAAATTAATATAGAATTTGTGTTTCAGTTAAAAAAATATATTAAATTCTCTCTCTCTCTCTCTCTTTACCACTGAGCTTCACTCCAGTTCTTTTTATTTTTTATTTTGAGACAGGATCTCACTAAGTTGCTGAGACTATTCTTGAACTTGGAATCTTCTTGCTTCAGTCTCTTAAGTAGCTGTGATTATGGGTGTGTCCCACCATGCCCGGATTTTCTCTCCTTTTTTTTTTTTTTTTTGTTTTTTTACTATTTACCTATATTAATATCTGTAAAAGGCTAGCACCTCACCAAAAAGGTTACTCTCACAGTTTGAGAAACATTATTCCTGTAAAAACCCATAGGAAGAGGTACTTAACTTTAAACTTACCTTTTAATAATGACATAGTTATGCTAAGCAAATTTAAATTTTAGTTCTGACATTGACTAGCATCATTTATTTAACTCTTATATGATAAGATTTTATGTAAGCATGTGATAGAGTAAACCTCAGTGCTTTCTTCAAAATTTTCTAATTTTTTATCTTATCCTGATACCTTTTAAAAAATTAAAATTAAGATTTTGTTGTTTTTGTAACATTACTAGGATTGTTTTTCATCCAAATGCAATTTTATTAAATTACTAATATTGTGATATTTGCTTAATCTCAGTGCCTTTGCATTGTGTTTACTTAGCAATAAAACAAACAAACAAAAATCATTAAACCTTGACTTGGGTACATGAGTGGACAGAGATGAAACCCAGTTTCCCTCCACAGATGATACCAGTAAAGAATATTCCAATTGACTGATAAAATTTTTAGGGCTTCTTATTTTTTRTTCTTAAATTTATTTATAAAGAGATGACTTCTCATTAAAGCTTTGCAAAAGAAAAAAGGAATTGCTAAATTATCTATTATTTCAAATTATGAAGGTAGTTTTATTCATCTCTGATTTATAATCACTTGGCTCCTCTGTAGATGGAAATAATCAAGGGCACTTAATCTGTACGCATTCTGTCAAAAGTAGACTTCAGTTTAAAAATATACTTCCTATTCTGTTTTTGCTGTTTATGGAGGATTGCCATGTAAATGAATGAAAAGTTATTTCTTACTAATTCTTGAAACTTTAATTTCCTTGAAGAAACAACCAGAAATCCAAATACTTTYTTTACATTGGTCTTGATGAAATAAATACTTTTACTAGTATTGATAAATACTTAATCTCATCCTTTTTTTCTACATAAATATTTTTTCTTAAATATTTATGTATTTAAATATTTTCTCTTAAATATTGAGGATCATATAAGGTTTTTTCCTGCTTATTATCATATTCCAATTTCATATGTTAATAGAATCTTAAAATTGGAAGAGATTTTAGACTTTTTAAAAAATTAAATTTATTTTTATTAGTTGATTTCTCTGATGATGTGATATTAACATTAATCTTTGATATTTAACAAGTRCCTGTAGATTATTCTAGAATCCAACCTTCTGTTCATTCTTTGCCATTAATCTGAAGTTAGTCTATGCTTGACTATTTTATAACTACCTCGTTTTCTGTGTATGTAGAGAAAATACTTGTACCATAAAATTTTATATATACATATATATATGTGTGTGTGTGTGTGTGTGTGTGTGTGTGTAATTCCTTATTGTTTGTTTCTAGCAAACTGGTTTCTCTCAAAAGAAATAACTTTTAATTTTAGTGGGCAAAAATCATCCAACACTATGCATAGACTTGGATTTAGTTCATTGATATAGTTGCCTTAAGATTATAATTCTAAATATTGGTTATTATATCCTTTACTATACTACTATGTAGCTAATTTTTTAATACAGAATGATGGACAAAGTAGTTGATTTCATCCTCAAAATTCAAAGTACTAATTAATTTTTTWAAAGCTTAAAAATTTAGCTAGGTACACAGGCAGCTCTATCAAGAATATAAAACCTGCTAGGCGCAGTGGCGCAAGCCTGTAATCCCATTAGCTTGGGAGGCTGAGACAGGAGAATCCTGAGTTCAAAGCCAGCAAGGTGCTAAGCAACTCAATGAGACCCTGTCTCTAAATAAAATACAAAATAGGGCTAGGGATGTGGCTCAGTAGTCAAGTGCCTCTGAGTTCAATCCCCGGTACCCCCACTCCCCAAAAAAGAATATAAGATGGATTGTTTAGTTATGTGGATATAGAACTGGCCATTTTAAATCCTGCTTCTGGTGATACTTTTCAAACATAAACTAAGTCTGATTTCTCACAAATAGCAGGAGCTTCAGGTTTTCACTATGCTACCTAAAAAGAATTCTGAGTACAATACTAGTACTCTAGTCTCTGTATCCCAGATGTGCTATTTTTGTTTGTTTGCATCCTTTTAAGATGCCATGGCCCATGATGCATGTACACGTGCACAGACAGATTGCCAGTCTCTCTCTGGACAGACATTTAGGGTTACTAGCCATGAGACTGCATCTGAAAATTGGAATTTATCRTAATACCACTTAATACCATTAGATCTAATTCCCATGATGCATCAGCCTTGATTGATTAATTTCCAAATGTGCCAAGATATGACTTGGAACTTTTTTTTGTAAGTAGTCTTTGGAAAACAGTTTTCATCTTTATTATACATTTCTCTTTAGATCATCAAGACACTAAAAGTTGTTCTCCACGTTTTTAAAATTAAAATTTTAAAATTTAAGAATAATATTAAATGACAGTAACTATCCTTTCAAGAATTATCCCACTTATTTTATRGTTTCCAAGCCAATACATGTTAAATTAGAAAATATTACAGTCAAAATAAAAGATTTTTCTCTTTTGGTTGTTCACTATCTGCTCTACTTTTATTCTTTTTAAATGAAACACACAGGATTAAATTTAGCCTAATATGTTTTTCACTGACATTGAGAATGTTGAACCGTTATCCAGGTGTGTTATAGTCCTCTTATTTTAACGAGTCAAATGCCAAGGCCACATATCAGTTAAATGCCTCACATAGCAAACTATATTGAATATTAAAAAGCTCTCTCAAAATACTGACAATATCTTAGGAGTTTAGATTAGAACTCTGCAAATTGCTTCATTCAAATGTGGTCAGCAGTCAGGAAGCCCAGGCAAGGAAGCCAAAAGAAAGAATCTCTGCTCACAAATTAAAAAATGGCTATGAGTACTGTCACTGAGAAGCCCAGAAATGGTTATCAGCTATCTTGATGATTTAAGAAGTATCCTTCCTTCTTTCACTTTATTCTCGGAGTTGGGAATAGTTTTGTTTTAGTCAGTTAACTAGAGAGCACATGCTTTATTATAATTAAACACTCAAAAGTCTCAGTTTCTAAGACTTTAACTTTTAAATTAATTTCATTTACTTGTGAATGTAGCTTGCTTTGTTGCTTTTGTGATGTGTTTGAAATAGYATTTTTATGGAATCACTTTTGATTCATGTGTTTGGATTTTGACATCTATGTACCAGAATTCTCTATTCTATTCTTCTGATCATCTATAAGTTTGCAGTGTTGTTTCTTAGAGGTTTGGTTTACTGAATTGGAAAATATACTACATTAAATAAAGAATGCTACTGCTCTGACACTAGGAATTAAGTACATTCATTGCTGTGGTTCTCTTCCCTCTCCAAAGGCATTTTTCATATCCACTTTTTGTATTTTGATGTTTAGGGTTACAGASCTAAAAGTACTACTTTGCAGTTGGTTTTTTAAAACAAAATGTTTATAAACTTTAGTTTGGTTTCTTGGGGGAAAGTGAAGGGTGGGGAAGAAAGGGGGGACAAGAAAACTAAGATTAAAAACTGCTCAGCTGAAGTTTTATAAAAATCTGACTTGAGTGTTTTTCTCTTCGTTTGCTATGCTTATGTGAACAGTGTGACACCATCGCCACAACAGGCTCGGGTCTGTCCTTCCCATATGTTACCTGAAGATGGAGCTAATCTTTCCTCTGCTCGTGGCATTTTGTCGCTTATCCAGTCTTCTACTCGTAGGGCTTACCAGCAGATCTTGGATGTGCTGGATGAAAATCGCAGGTGATTGGCCATCAGTGACTTGCCAGCTTTGTTGCATATTTTTTGGTGCCTTATCTAGTGGATTGTGGTGTCTTTTATGTTTGCACCTTCTCAGTCTCTAAGATGCAATGGTTTGAAATGGCTTGCTTTGCTTTCTTTTAATTTCAAATTATTGTCCAAAATTCACATTTCATAAGATTACATTAGATTTTGTTCAGTCAGAAAGAATATTTAGTTCCTGAGAACAGGATATGTGACGATGTTTTTTTTTAAAAGGCTTTGCTGATTTATTTGAAGTACTTGATTCCATGTGGGGATATGCTGAAGGTTACTGTTGGATTGTTTGTGGGATGTTGGACTGCTGAAGCATACTAGTTTTCTTTTAGTAAGTTTTTTTTTTTTTTTTACTTAATTGCTTGTACAACTAATATGATTGAGTAAATAAAGCATGTTTGAGATGGCATTACAGCCACCAGTCGTTTTTTTTGTCCTTTCCCCTTAACTACATACTAAAAATTCCAGGTGCTATTTTGAACATCTCCAAGTTAACTCATTAATAATATATTGTTACTTGTAAGTGCAAACATTTTTTTGTAATCATTTCAAATACTTTTATCCTGCCACAATACTACATAATGTTTTTTAAAAAGTGAAATTGGAGAAGCTTTTTTGGCATAGTGTGGGAAAGGTAAAGTCAGTTTCCTTTCAACTCCTAACAAGTGACTGGTAACTTCTCAGAGTCAGTGTCTGAATTTTTGTTGTCATTTTATTGAACTATTAATTTTTGCATTTTGAAGAATTCTCAATAAATTAAGCTGGCTTTTCCAATAAGCCCATTTTTTTTTTTTTTAATAACCTTAGGTGTCTTCTGGCTTGCTCTTATTGATTGCTTTTATACTCACACATACCCAGGAACTTCTCCATAGTTCTTGAGCACTATTTGTCATTATTATCCATACTATTTATCATTATTGAATTTAGGGACTTTTCAAGTCTTTGCAGGGCTAATCTAGTGGTATACATTTGGACCCAAGGACTTCAAGGTGCTCTATAAAGAGCTTATAGAGACAAACTCATGGCATGGTGGGAGAATTATGTATATTGTGAAGTATATGTATACATACATTTTTTTTTTATTTTCCCCCAAGCATTTAGAATTCTTTGAAGCTTCTAAATCTTAGAATTTTTGGAAGCTATAAGAAGCCAGCCACAAAGTTCCAAAGAAAAGCATGGATTCAGAGAGTCAGATTTATTCTTGATCCACCTCACAAAATAGCTGCATCATGGCCTTGAACAAATTGCTTATCTTCTCTGGGCCTCCTTTTCCTCATCTGTTAAAAAAAGGTAAAAAAAGGTATAATAATGCCTGGCTTTCTGTATTCTTGTGAATAGTCCCCTTCCCTGCCTTTATTGAAGATTTAGAGCTACTGACKTCAAATTATTTAGTGTGGTAAGAGAGCCTCAAAAGATATAGAGGGTAAAGTACCTGGCCTTAACTAATATCTGCAAAAAACTATTTTCACAATCTCTCCTCTAAACAGATTTATTCTCTACCAGATATTCTCCTTAACTTTTTTCATTACATAGGTTCTTAGAAAAGGTGAGATTATTAAGTCAGTATCACATCAAATGGTATTATAATAAAAATATCTAATGAGAAAAAAAAATTCTAAATTCTGTATAGATTAAATAATAGCTAGATGACAAAGTCCCAGTATGATTGTTTGTTCCTCCTTCCACCAATACGTACACAGTTCAAATGTATTTATATGGAACTTGAAAAAATATGGGCTTTTTTTCTCCATAATGGAAAAATTATTTACCTGAGGGTCAAACAATACAAAATCAGAAATCTTACTAATATAAATTTTACCTTGTATTCTTTCATAAGGAAAAACTGTATACAATTCTATGTGAAATTTTATTTTGTAATGAATTGGTAACTTTAAAACATTCCTTTTCTGGGAAGAAATTATCTTATTTACCTAAAACATGTTTTTTAGTTGAGAAAGGTATTATAGTAGTAATACTTTACTCCTGGATATATTCCAATAGTTTTTACCATGGAACTCGAGTTAGGCTCTCATTAATCTTATCCATGTTTTCATTACTGAAAGGGTCTGTCAAAGTTATATTCAAATTTTTATGATCTAAATGTTGAACAAGATTTGATCAGAATTTTAAGTAACAAATCAGTTTTTATTTTTGCTATAAAAAGTATCTAGCATAATTTTTCAGATATAAAAAATAGGAATGTGAAATTTGGATAATATTCTTGCATGGTTGTAAAATAATACTGCTTATAAAAATTTAAATGCTTTTATGTTCCTTGCCCTGTGCATCATTTTGTTTTCTTTTCTATTTTATTACTCTTGGCTATTTTGCTAATGCAATATCTTATCTTTGGTCTTACGCCATCACATTGAGTATAGTTAATTTAAGCTATAACTTTTTCAGAAAGAAAAAAGCTTTCTGCYTGGTTTATTATCATAAAATAATGCAGTTTCATAGTTGTTCAACATGAGCTATTTTTGGTTTGCATCTTCAGGGACATTGTCAAAAGGTTTTTTTACTGTACCTTTTTTTCTCAGCTTATGAGAACTTAATTGATAAACAAGTTCAACATGAAAACCAAGTTAAATCCTAGGTAATTGTTAGAAAAGTTCATTTACATAGGTCAGTGCTATACATTTGGAAAAGTGATATATTGAAAATTTATCAAAATACTTAGGATAAGCCCTGTGCACAGTTTGCTTAGTTGGCAGCAGGATTTAAAAAGCTGTTATGATTTCATGCTTTGTTGGTTAGACATTGCCCATATCTAGTTAATACATCTATTACAACTATATATGTCCTTTTCCAATGTAAAATATTGTCATTTTTTTAAAACCGTATTTATGTGTAAGAACATTATATACTGATAGATGTTATTTTTAGGAGGAGCTTGGTTATTGCTATAGTTTTTTCTTAGCAAATTATACTAGTTTTAAGTGAATAGAATAAGAAACCAGTATGTGAATAGTTTATATTTTTGACAAGTATCCCTATAAATCCATAACTTAGAAGACCTAGAAACACAGAGTTACAGTGGATATGATATGTTATTTGTAATTTTTCCTTTAAAATGTATACTTCCTCATTTTCAAAACTACTTATTTTCTATAGCAGTTTACATTTTCATAGCAAAGAAACATATAATCTGTCAATTTAGACCCTATATTTACTCAAAAATGTCAATATGCAGGTTAATGCTGGAATTTGGTAGCCTTGGATTTCCTTCCTTTTTGCCACTTTAATTACAAAACATATCATTGAAAAATTTCTTTYAAGTATACTTATGGTAGCAAGTGGTACTTTAATGAAGTTTGCAACTTTACCAAATACCTGTCTAATTTACTTTTATATTATATGTGTCAATTGCCAGTGTGAGAAGACAAAATGAAATACGTTGTGAAAGGTAACTGTATTATTTTCTGGCTCTGCATTATAAAAGGGAAATCTCTGTGGTGGACTATGTTGGATACAGCAGACCCATTTGAACATATTAATACACATTTTTAAAATATTTTAAAAAGCACACAGCAGTGGCTTCATTTAGTAACCATTCTCATATTTGTGTAATTTAAGATTAGTTGATTGATAGTCTTCCTAATATCACAGAGTAAATCTGATGGGAAGATAAGATGAACCTAATACCTGTCTCAAACATATGTGATTCCTCAGTGTCTCTTAACCAACAATATAAAAGTCAGACGTGTCCTTTAAAAGGCTCTGAATCCTATATCCTCTAGGCTCCAGAAACTTTATGAAGCACCAGTAGTGCCTTTAGAACATGTGACTTTAGGACAGAAGTTAAACATTAAATATTTCTAGCATAAATTGACTTGTCAGAAAATAATAATTTGTAGTCTTCAACTGTGCCAGCTTACAGAAAAAMAATTTGTACAGTGGTATTAAACATTTACTATAATTATTGCCTTGATACTTACATTTAGGCAAATATCTAATTAGTTAAAGAAAAAATGAGACATTCTAAAACAGGATTTAATAATTCTTAAAATCTTTACATGGATCCTCTAACCCATTCTTCTTTCTCTGATTAGTAAATATAGCTGCTTATTTGGGGGCAGTTGACCAGTGGACATGTAGAGCTTGTGTTTTTTTATTGTAACAAATAAATTATATTAGAAAGGTTACTGCTTGTCTAGATAGAAAACTAATTATCCTCTAGGACTCAAATATGTTCTGAGACTATGTATAAAGCCCCACAAAGTTTTCCAGTGCACCTTGGTTCTTGTTTCCAGCAGCCCTGTATGTTACTCCTGGTTGTCTCAAGATCAGACTCACATATTTGTTTGCATTTCCTGCCATGTGCCCTAGCATGTCTCCAATATTCTCAGCTCTGGAACTGAGGCATGCATTTTTTACTCTGGAGAGCTGAGGGTTTAAGCCATGAGTCAGAATTAATGAGGTGGGAGGGAAGGAATTGTGGGAAATGAGGAAATTCACAGTTTTTAAGGTAGAACTGTTGATATTGATGAGCAACCACGATCATGCAGGTGCCACAATAGGTTCTTGACATCTTTTAAAGTTGACAGTGATTTTTTTTCCCCAGTCAGAAGAAAATAATTGCATTTTTTAAACACAGTGGTCCTGTCTTGAATTTCATAAATTATGAGCACCAAAAAGAATTATGTTGGTGCTATTTTACTTTGTTTCTTCAGTCAGTTGAAAACTATTAGATTTATGAAAATCATAAAATGGAGGATGTATGAACAAAGATTTTCTAAGTTTTTGAGAGATATTATATTGTATTAAAGCATACAATATAATCTTATTTGACATTTATCTGTCTTGTTTTTGCTTTTATTTTATCATTTCTCTGTTTCCTGACTCTGTCTTGTGCCTTCTCCCGCAAAAACCTGCCGTAGACCTGTGTTGCGCGGTGGGTCTGCTGCCGCCACTTCTAATCCTCATCATGACAACGTCAGGTAACTTTTGAGACTTTGTAATCACCAGGGGAAGTACAGAGTTGGGGATTTATGTTCTGCAGARTATAATGCATGTTGCAGCTTGGACTGGACAGGTTTCACTTATGAATAATCTTGCTTGTAAGAACAAGAAGTTGAAGCAGTCAAGACATTTGACTGCTGGAATCTGAGGGAAAATGTTTAACATTAACAGGGTGGTGTGATATGAACATCTGAGATATTTTATTTAAATACAGTTTTAGTAGCTTATAGGTGATTATGCAAAAATGCAGTAAGAATGATTTTAAGTCATGTTTTATCTGCACTATTTTAACTGTTGCCTAGGTTCAGTGCAGCATTTCCTCTTTAGTTGTTAATTATAATGTTACTTTCATAGTGTAGATAATCCAGTGTTAAGCATTATCGTAAATTGGGTAAAATCATCATTGACAACAATTCAGAAAGGTGAACATTTATTTAGAAAGGGAATTTAATTTTAAGCATTTTTATTATCATTAATATCAGCCTTTCTCGTTTTTGCACTTTCAGACACAGCCTGAATAATTGTTTGGTGGGTTTTTTGTTTTGTTTTGTTTTGTTTTTGGTCGTCACACATCACACATAGGCAGATATTTAAAGTTCCTGTTTAGTGTTCCTGTCTTCTAGGAAAACRAAAGCAAAAGCTGATTGGTGTTTACAGATGCTATTACTCTTAATTTTTCAGAGCCAGTTTGTTAAGTGTAAGCTAAAATGTTTTACCTGTAGCAGTAGATTTAAAATTCGCAACTTTGTTTCTGTTAGAGAGACTGACACATTGTTAGGGAAGAGAAAAGGGACAGCATCACTTGATATTTGTCAGTTCAGTTCATGTTGGAGGAATTGAAGTGCACCTTTGGTGGCCCCCTAACTGTGCTGCTGACTTATTTTCTTTGACAATCTTAATTTTAATCTATTTGTTGTTTTCCCTCCTATTTTTCTCTGTTTGTTATTACTTTATCTTTTTGTGAAATTATTTTTAACCAATGATCTAACTTAATGTTTCTACAGAGATTTTAGTTCTGATAAATACAAGTTTTACTTTAAGATACTTAAACTAAGGTAATTGCAGTGAGTGGCACATGCCTGTTATCCCAGTTACTTGGGAGCCTGAAGCAGGACAGTTGCAACTTCAAGGCCAGCCTGGGCAGTTTTAGCAATACCCCATCTCAAAATAAAATAAAAAGGGTTGAGGATACAGCATAGAGGCARATCACCCCTGGGTTCAATCCCCAGTATACAGAAATATATACATATGTACGTAAATTGAAGTCTGTATGTAAAGTCTTTTGTCCTGTCTCTAGATTTCTTTGCGAATGACAATTTCCTTTACAGATTTTTAAAACCTTAGTTATCAGGATTTAAATTGCAAATAATCTCTATCATTTAAACTTAGCTTTCTATCTTCAGGCCAGGTCCCTTTAACTTTGAGGATGAAATGTAGAAAAGAGGAATCTTGAAGCCCTATTTTTTTCCTCTAATCTTTTAATAATTCTGTTTAGTTGTTATTGTTTTTCAATGCTAGGAATTGAACTCTGGGCCTTGTATATACTAGGCAAGCACTGAACCACATGCTCTGCCCTAATAATTCTCTTTTAATGTTCAAAGGAATAATTAACTCAGATGTTTATAAGCCCATAGTTTGTAAGCCCAAGTTTGCATGTTCTTGTAAACAGGAACTGACAATAGTTGCAATATCTATTTCTGAGAAGTTTACTTTGCTAACTGGTAGAATTACCCTCAGGATTTCAAGAATACTTACTTTATTTCCATGAAGAAAGGGGAGCTAATTAACAGCAAGTGAATTTAACTATAAGAGGATCATTCAGAGATTTTATCTAGTCAGTACACACTATCTTATTTGAATTTCATTTTGCATTCTTTATTAAAGTATTTTTATATTATTTTCAACAACATTTGAAACAACAGGATTTTCTAAATAGACTTGTCTTTAGCATACCCAGATGAAAAAATATAATTCTATTTCATATCCCTTTGTGGGATAATGTGGGTTTTTTGTACTGGAAAAATGCTAGGAATATTAGAATATATGATCCGTTAGCCAACTCTGGGTTTTTTTTTGTTTTGTTTTGTTTTGTTTTGTTTTGTTGCAATGCTAGGAATTGAACCCTAGTAGTAACTAGTAACTCTACTCCTTCAGAAAAGTTAGCATGTCATTTTATTGAAATAACCATACTGGATATAAAATAGATACACATGTGATACAATAGATTGCATGGTATATAAATTTGTATCTCAGTAAAGCTGTAATTAAAATAAAATTTAAAGTATGGAAATGCAGGCAAAGGATAGGAATGGTATTTGTGTCTATTTTTCAGAAGTTTATTGTCATCCATTTAAAAAAAAATCTTTTAAAAGTGACTGCATTTGAACAAAAGGTATTGTTTAGTGTGCTTTCTCTGTATTCTTAGTGATTCTTCAGTATTACTRTTTTATACACACCCTCTTAATTTCTTATTGTTGAGCCAATTCTGGATCTAAATGTAGTGGCAAGATATATTCAGGAGTCTGGTGCAGTAGTGCATGCCTGAAATCYCAGCTACTAAAACCCTTTCTCAAAACAACAAAAAAGTAGCGGGGGTGGGGAGCATGGATGTAGTTTAGCAGTCAAGTGCTTTCCTAAGCATGTGGAGGCCCTGGGTTTTATCTGCAGCACCGTAAAAACAAAACAAAAGATGTATTCCAGAGATTTTGATTATTTCTGCAGGAGACATRCAGTCAAGACTAAGTAATTTGAAATAGGAGTGGCACAAGAAGAGGAAGAGAAATTATCACTTTTTTTTTTCTTTTTCTTTTTTTTGGTTAGAATTAGTTCACTTTGCATTCCTTGCCTATGCGCCTCTACCTTTGGAACCATATATGGTAAAAGTTTGTGTAAGAATTGTTTGTTGGCATATCCTAGAGTGCTCTCAGCCTTTTCAGCCACCGATCATTTTTAACATTGCCCATCTCTCTGGTTTGAAAAGTGTCTTCAGTCAGTGTTTCTCCTCATTCTCCGTTTCAGTACATTTTCCTGGTATTATAGGTAGAAATCATTCATCTTAAGCTTTTTCTTTTCCTTTATTAGTGTCAATTCAGACAGTACAATAATTTATATTGTTAAGTATGTCTTTTGAATTTTTCTTTGAGCAATACATAACATATGACTTGCTAGTCTTAGTTTTGTTGTAGTATTAACTTGTATTTTTATGTCTTATTTACTAGGTATGGCATTTCAAATATAGAAACAACAATTGAAGGTTCATCAGATGACATGACTGTTGTAGATGCAGCTTCATTAAGACGCCAGGTATTTAATGAACCAAACAAGATATAATCCAAAAGTTATAGTCATGTAAATTTTGTTGTGTGATTTTAACCTACCTTCACATTTTTTTTTACATTGCATGTAATATTTTAAAGTGATAGCTGATAACATTTTATCATTTTTCTATTTTATGGAACCCATGAATTGAAGTATTTTATCTGTCAAATTATTTAATAAGCCATAATGATTTCCCATTTTTAATTAAAGACCCATTAAACCACTGTCTACATACTTTGGGATTTTTGTTTTGTTTTGTTTTGGGTTTTGGTTTTTTTAGCAATAGGGGTTGAACCCAGTGGTGCTTAACCACTGAGCCACATCCCCAGCCCTTTTTTATTTTTTGTAGAGGCAGAGTCTCACTGAGTTGCTTAGGGCCTCACTAAGTTGCTGAGGCTGGCTTTGAACTCTCCATCCTCCTGCCTCAACCTCCTGAGCCACTGAGATTACAGGTATACACCACCAAGCCCAGCTCATCTACATGTTTTTGACCAGCATAAAATACTATCATCAAAATGAATTTATTTAAGTCTGACTAATAAGAAAGAATCTTAAATATCAGCAAACCAGTATAAATTGCTTGTCTGACTTTTGACATGTAATAATCACTTTGGGGACCTTTGTTTCTATATTTGATATTCACTTTGGAAGCGACTGCTTTCATGTGCACAGTGTCTATACATAATATTGCTTATATATTCTAATAAGTTATATCTTTAAAATATTTTTTATTCTTTTTAGTTATACATTACAGTATAATGTATTTTGACATACATATATGGAGTATAACTTCCCATTCTTGTGGTTGTACCTGATGTGGAGTTACACTGGTCGTTTATTCATATATGAACATAGAAATATTATGTCCAGTTCATTCTACTGTCTTTCCTATTAYCATCCTCCCTCCTGTCCCTTCATTCCTCTTTGTCTAATCCAAAGTACTTCTGTTCTTTCCTCCCTTCCCAAAGTACTTCTGTTCTCTGTCCCCCTCCCCCCATTGTGTGTAAGCATCTGCATATCAGAGAGAACATTCAGCCTTTGGTTTTTTAGGATTGGCTTATTATTGTTTGGGGGGATTGGCTTAGCATGATGATAGTCTCCATTTCCATSCAATTACCATAAAATACTATAATTTCATTCTTCTTTATGTCTGAGTAATATTTCATGTGTATATATACCACATTTTCTTTATTCATTCATCTGTTAAAGAGCACCTAAATTGGTTTCATGGTTTAGCTATTGTGAATTGAGCTACTACAAACATTGACATGGCTACGTCACTATAGAATGCTGATTTTAAGTCCTTTGGGTATATGCTGAGGAGTGAGATAACTGGTCAAATGGTGGTTCCATTCCAAGTTTTCTGAGGGATCTCCATACTGCTTTCCAGATAGGTTACACCAATTTGCATTCCCACAGGCMATGTATGAGTGTACCTTTTTCCCCACATCCACGCTAACATTTATTATTACTTATATTCTTGATAATTGCCTTTTTAACTGGAGTAAGGTGAAATCTCAGTGTAGTTTTAATTTGCATTTCTCTAATTGCTAGAGATACTGAACATTTTTTTATGTATTTGTTGGCTGATAGTATTTCTTCTTCTGTGAATTGTCCTGTTCCTTTGCCCTTTATTGATTAGGTTATTTGGTTTTTTGTTTTTTTGTTTTTTTTTAAGAGAGAGGAGAGAGAGAGAGAGAGAGAGAGAGAGAGAGAGAGAGAGAGAGAGAATTTTCAATATTTATTTTTTAGTTCTCGGCAGACACAACATCTTTGTTGGTATGTGGTGCTGAGGATCGAACCCGGGCCGCACGCATGCCAGGCGAGCSYGCTACCGCTTGAGCCACATCCCCAGCCCTATTTGGTTTTTTTTAATGTTAAGTTTTTTGAGTTGTTTATATATCGTGGAGATTAATCCTCTGAGGTGCAGGTGGCAAATACTTTGTCCCATTTTGTAGGCTCTCACTTCAGATACTTGATTGTTTCTTTTACTGTGAAGAAGGTTTTTAGTTTAATAGCATCCCATGGAAAAAAATAAAATATTTGGGAATTAATCTAACAAAAAAAGAAAAAGACCTCTACAATGAAAACTACAGAACACTAAAGAAAGAAATTGAAGAAGAACYTAGAAGATGAAAAGATCTCCCATGTTCTTGGATAGGCAGAATTAATATTGTCAAAATGGCCATACTACTAAAAGTGCTATACAGACTTAATGCAATTCCTGTTAAAATTCCAATGACATTCTTCATAGAAATAGAAAAAGCAGTCATGAAATTCATTTGGAAAAATAAGAGGCCCAGAATAGCCAAAGCAATCCTCAATGAAAAATGTGATGGAGGATGCATCACAATACCAAACCTTAAATTGTACTACAGAGCTATAGTACCAAAAAGACATGGTATTGGTACCAAAACAGACACAAAGACAGTGGTTCAGAATAGAAGACACAGACAAATCCACATAAATACTGTTATCTCATACTAGACAAAAGCACCATAAACATACTTTGAAGAAATGATAGCRTCTCAACCAATGGTCCTAGGATAACTGGAAATCCATAGGAAGCAAAATGAAATTAAACCCCTCTCTCTCACTCTGCACAAAAATCAACTCAAAGTGGATCTAGGCATTAGACCAGAGACCCTGCGCTACTAGAAGTAAAAGTAGGCCCAAATCTCCATCATGTCAGCTTGGAACCAAGTTCCACAAGACTCCTAAAGCACAAGAAGTAAATAAGTTGTATCTTGAAGTTACAGTTGCATACACATATTTTTAGTATTTGTTCCTATACCTTCTAAAATCACACATATATGCACATGTAGAGAAGGCATATCTGGTGTTTTGATTATGTATACAAAATAGATATAGAGAAAGTAGGATAAAGTAAAGTATTTTAAGTAAAGATCAATAAAGAAGCACTAGCTTCAGCAAGGCAGTTCAGCCCAGGGCTATTCATGGAAAGGACAAAGAGCCAAGGATGGTTCATTCAGCCAGCAGCTTTTCTAGCAGCTGAGGAATCATTAGTCTTTCAGACTGAAGTGTCTAGGTGACATCTGGCCTACTACAATAGGTTCAAGTATTGGGCTTTCTCAGTAACTCAGAGAGAATGCAGATAATACCAACTTAAAAATGAACAATTAAGGCTGGGAAATAAGAAGCTCATGGAAGAGGCCTAGAAAGGGGTAGGGGTCTATAGTCTTTCTGCCTTGGTAAGCCTRCCTCAGTGTATGTGTTGTCTTTTACTAGAATAGCTTAGTTGTGAAATACTGCCTTTAATCTAATCAGGTAAGGAAGGAAATACACCCTCACTAACTCYGAAATTTGGAGAAGGGAAATAGATAAGAGTATTTAAGCAAATTTAAGCTGTCATGAATAACATGTTTTTCTATTTGTAGCTGTCTTTTTGCTCCAAATGAAACATTCCATGTTTATAATAACTCTTATATGATTATACTGCTTTCTAAGAATGGAATTGCTGTGTACATTAAAGCTTCTATATTGTATTTTATGTTTGTTTTTCACATAGATAATCAAACTAAATAGACGTCTACAACTTCTAGAAGAGGAGAACAAAGAGCGTGCTAAAAGAGAAATGGTCATGTATTCAATTACTGTAGCATTCTGGCTGCTTAATAGCTGGCTCTGGTTTCGCCGCTAGAGGTAACTTCAGCACTCAAATATATTGTTTCAACAGCTGGAAATATAAAAGATTTGCAAACTTCTTTGTTTCTGTCTTTGCATTGTATGCCGTTTTATAGTTCATGCTCTGAAAATGTATTTCTTCCAGAAAGTAGGGTGAAAGGACCTATATTTGTAGAAGTAAAGGTATATTCTGTCACTTAGTTGTATTCACTTTAAATCAGTTCTGCAGCAACACTTACATAAAATTCTCCTTTTGCATGTTTTGTAAATAGGGTCCAGTTTGTGTTTTTAAAATGAAATTAATTTTTTGCCTCATCAGTCTAAACAACTAATTCTGTGAAAGGAAGACAGAATGCATAAAGGGTGGATTAAGAAAAGTATCTGTAGAAGAAAAACAATGTTTGTCCTGTTTCTCACAGTTTTGTTGGTAGACATTTTTGCATCCATATTTTAACATTAACATTTGAAGTCATGGTCTGGTGCCAGATTTAAGAAAATCAAACCACCTAATATTTCATGATCACCTGTATAGATTAAATTAAAATATGCCTAACAGTTCAGCAGTTTAATATGTGTGCATTATGTTGCGTTTTTATTTTCATTTTAGTTTTGCAGATGGTTTTCTATAAAATACGTTTTTACTAAGTCCATGTGTGAATGATTTAAAAACTACAGAATAAGGAACAATTGTAGTGTATTTAATAAACTGTCAACCAAAGCAATGTTTGTCTATTGAAAAATTTGTTTCATCATATTGGTTATGAGCTCAGTATGGAGTCATATTAACCTTATCTCAGTCTTTGTGTCTCAGGAGCATAGGATGTACTTAATGACTTGGCAGGCAGCAAGTGCCTCCTGTGCTTCTCTTCAGATCTTTATCCTCCTAATTGTGGACATCATTTGTATTGAAGGTGGTTGTTTGTTTTTGTCGCTTAGGGTTTTGGGGGTGGTACTGAGGATTGAACCCAGGGGTATTCTACCACTGAGCTATATCCCTAGGCCTTCCTTCCTCACTCATCCTTCTCCCCCCTTTTTTTAAGACAAGCTCTCACTAGGTTGCCAAAGCTGGCCAGAAACTCGCCATCTCCTGCCTCAGCCTCCCTTGTAGCTGGGATTGCAGGTGTACACCACCATATACAATTGCAGGTGGTTTTCTAGTTTATTCTATCTATGAAGTGATTCAGATTAAAATACCATGAATTATGCATCTTTTTCTCCATAGTAGTATTTATTTGCTAATATGCTAAATGTCATGAGAGTTARACACATCAATGAAACCAAGTCTTGGGTGTCTTTAGTTCTCAAAATTATTTTCCCTTTTTCTGATTCTAAAACAGGTAGAATTCAAGTAGGTGGATTATTCTCCACACAAGTTATCTTTCTATCAATGCAGTAAGTGTTAAGGAAGGTGATTGAGGGAAATTTCTTTGATATAGGTAGATTTCATGTTTCTGTTCTTGCTTCTCCCTCTTCCCTTCAAAAAAATGCTGGGAAGAAACTGGGTGCAATGACACATGACTATAATACTAGCAACTTGGGAGGCTGAGGCAGGAGGATTGCAAGTTAGAAGCCAGCCTGGGCAACTTAGTGAGACCCTGTCTTAAAAAAAATAAAAAGAGATAGTGGTGTAGCTCAGTGGTAGTGGGCCCCTGGGTTCAATCCCTAACACTGGGAGGGAAAAAAAAATTAGGAGGAAGATTCTTCTTTGTAACGTTTTTCATGAGTTGATGACATAATTTTTTTCTGTACATGGAAGTCTTCTGWCTTTTGGTGATATCCTAATGTGAAATTGCTTTATTAATTCCAGCTTTGTATATGCCACAAGGTAATTTCTGTGAATCACCCATTTGAGACCACAAAAGTGGTAAAATGGTAGGTAAAATTACCATCTTCTTTGCTGGAAAAAGAATGCTAAAAATTAAATAAAAGTGGGAATCTTGGGAGATAAGTACAAAAGCTATTTTTCTCCCTGATGAATTTAAACAAACACCAGAGGCTAGGAATTTTCTCACTTATTGGTTATGCAAGGGACAGAAGATAGAATTCCATACCTTGATCAGGAAATAACCTGTAATAGGAAAATCATGACTGAAGCTGGGGCCCCAAAAAACTACTCCCTCAGTGACAAAAAAAAAAAAAAAAGAGAAATCTTATGCAAAAGTAGGCATTGAGAAATGTACCTTTCTTGACTTTGTCACATATCTAAAAGTAGAAGAGCTTGAATCTTGACTCTGAGGTTGAGCCCTGTGTTATTCTAAACTACTTCCCCCAAAAATGTTGTTAATCACTGTAAAAGGAAAAGAAATGTTCGGGATTAAGAAATGAATTCAATCCTGATCAAGATAATCAAGAAATACTTCTTAGATAGCTGAGCCTTGAGATAAGTGTATGTATGATTTCAACAAAAGAAAATGAAGAAAAGGATGCCAAGTACAGGGAACAGAGGGAGAAAAGGATATAGTCAGGGCAAAAGTAAGAACAGCAAGTATATTTTTGTTAACACTACTTTCAGAATGTAAAGTACCCCACCACACCCACCCCCTCTCCTCCCCCCACCCACCCCCTCTCCTCCCCCACCCCTCCTCTCCTCACCCCCCCCCCAC